TTTGTGGCAGCCCCTGAGATATTGGAACACTGCTATCATATCCCTCCTCGTCCTTCTCTTCATTAGACTAGACAGACCCAATTCCAGCAACCGTTCTTTGTATGTTTTAGCCTCCAGTCCCCTGATCATCTTTGTTGCTCTCCTCTGCACTCTTCCCAGATTCTCAACATTGTTTTTATAATATGGTGACCAAAAAAACAAAACAGAAGTTGAGACTCTGTGATTCTATTGTTATATAATACTATATTATTAATAATTAAAATATTATTATATAATGATTCTGTATTTATGTGATTGTACGGTGATACACCCTCACGGAGAATACCTATGTAATAAACAAAAAACAATCTGAGGAGACATAATCTATCAATAAAAATCAGATTAGGTTGCGCTGACAAGTTTCCAGCACCCAAACTTTTGTCTGCCTTCGTTGACATCTGGCAGTGGATGAGGGGTTGCCCAATGCCTGCAGTTCCTCTGCTCTAATTGGCATCGTGGTGCTTGTTGATATTTGGACTTGGCTGCTTATGTCATTTCTGGAAGTCTCCCAGAGTGATTTCTTCCATCAGTCAAATCTCAGCTCTTGGTCTGTCCAAACCTAAGTTTAAATATCGACTGGGGTATATTTACAGATACTTGAAGAAAAAAAGAACATCTGGAACTCCAAGCAACCCTTCCAGGTATTTTGGCTGCTCCTGAAGTCATGGGATTTGGACGTGATGGTCAGGAAAGTTCACCGATAACTCCTGTGCTGGAGATAACCTTTCATCTGCTTTGGGAGTGACTTCATATGGAGAAAGAAGGCTTGACCTCTGTTGCACACTTCATCCTGGCAATAGGCAGAGTTTGAGTACTCTGAGACAAGGAGGCCTTTAAGACATGAATTGCACCTTTTACTGCAGCATTTCTCAACTTCGCCAACTTGAAGGTAGGTGGACTTCAACTCCCAAAATTCCCTAGTAGGCTTCTGTGAGTTGAAGTCCACCCGTCTTCCAGTTGCTGAGGTTGAGAAATACCGCTTTATTGGTTAGGAAAGCAGAATCAACTAGCCTTCTGTGCCGTCAGCTAAACAACTTTTGGAATTGCTCTGTGGGGCCAATTCTGGACAGAGAGGATCCTAGGCGACAGCAGGCACTAGATGAAAAAAACATAGAACATAGCATAAGAGGGTTGGAAGGAACCTTAGAGATCTTCTAGTCTCAAGCAGGAGACCTTATATCATTTTGGACAAATGACTGTCCAGCCTCTTCTTGATGGAGGAGCACCCACTACTTCTGGAGGCAATCTGTTCCACTGGTTAATTGTTCTAACTGTCAGGAAATTTCTCCTTAATTCCAGGTTGAATCTCTCTTTGATAATCTTCCACCTGTTGCGTCTTGTCCTGCCCCCAAGTGCTTTGGAGAACAGCTCCAGCCAGTGATGGGATCCAAATACGTGAACAACCGGTTCTCTGTGTGGTTGCCGCTTCCGGAAGTCCGTTCTGGGCCTGGGCAACACAAAATTAGCTACCGGTTCCAGGCGTTCTTGTGATCCCAGTTGCCCCTTCTTCTCATTTCGTCCCCGTGATCACCTCTCTGGGAGTTTGATAGCAAGACCACAAATGGGCCGTACTTTGCCAACCGTTGTGCATTCATATACCAGCCTAGGAGGACATGTCTGTCCTCCTGTCTTTATAGTCAGAAGATTTATTTCCAGAAAAAAGAGCTATCCAGAGAGACAGGCTGTCTGGCCCATGCTTGGCAACCCTTGTAATCGACAAGATCTCTGGCGCGCTACCCTGATTTCCCCACTGGGTTTAATTTGAGTTTTCCATGGCTTCCAACGTTCACTCTACTCTGCACAATGCCCCCAGCTGTCTCCATTCAGAGCACACACAAAAGCTCCTGCCACTTCTTTTATGCAGAAAAGAGGCAACACCCCTTATTATTTTGGATAATTGGCAAGGCATTTGAACCCCCCCCCCAGCTCTTCTTTTCAGGAGAGAGAAAGAAAGAAGAAAACAAGAAAGAAAGGAAAGAAGGAAGGAAAGAAGGAAGGAAAGAAGGAAGGAAGGGTGGTATAAGTATAAATTGGAGCTTGGATAGTTTGATTGGCAGGAAGAGGGTTAAAGCAGCTCCTCAATAGCAGCTCCCAGAGTAGAACTGCAGTTATGCAGATAGTTGCTTTGGTCTCGAAAAACTGATGTTGGGCCCAAGAACCAAGAATCAAGATGTGGAGTTACTTCGGAATCGTTTCCTTTATTGATTTCCACCTATAGACTGAATCTTACCAGCCTAAAGCATCCATTGCGCAATTGTAGATATCCTCCGTGTATCGTCTTCGCCCTCCTCCTGCCTACCAGACATTCCAAGCTCTGCTACCTCTTTGCCCTCTGGAAAGCAACCCCTCCTTCCTGGGAATCCAGACTACATTTCACCCCAGGAATGGGGGTAATTAAGTGTTGGGGGGCAGAACGCAAGGGGGTCCATTCTCTCTCCTGTTTAGTTTTCTGCTTTTCCACTGCCTGTAGTCCTCATGGTTTCTTCAGCCCACGTTAGAGCCTCACTGAAGGGATCCAAGGTGACATGTGGAAGAGATTCCCTCTGAAACCCTTTCCCTCCCCCTGTTTTCTTTTGCTTATCTGCATTCTCAAGACCTGCTACTTTGCGGGGTGGGTAAAGAACTGGCTTATGCAGCAAAAATAGCCAAGAATCTCATTTGTTCGAGGCTGTCTCAGCAGCAGGGCCCACAGACCTTCAAGCATGGAGGTTTGCATCTTTGATTTTGAAACAGGTTAGTCTTCTTCTGTCTCTGAGCCTCAGTTTCCCGTGGGGTCCCAGCTAGTTAAGAAAACTTACTTTCTCTTTAGAGAAAGTAAAGCACACAGGTCAAAGGTTCTGCATCAAATGTTGCTGGACGGTGTTTGCAAGGCTTGTTTATAAATAGCCCAGTCTATCAGTCCCTGGAAATTAGGATTGCTGTGACAGCCTTGAACTTTGAAGGGTTTTTTTTTTTTTAAATGAGGACATTTGGCAGTTCAATCATCAGAATCACGTGGTAGCCTTCTGGGCCTTCAAACAAATTGCAAACAAAAAACAAGAAACAAGGCCTGAATTACCAACAGGATCCAGATCATTGACCCATGCTCCAGAATCCTGTTGCGCAACTGTTTGATAAGAGTTATAGATTAACTGTCGGTGTTGGGTCAGGAATGTGAATTCCACTCCAAGACACAAGGTGATCTGTCTTGAGCAGAGGCCAACTGCGGTTCCTTCCCTGCTCTTTCTGATAACAAACCTTTCCTCATACCAGAATTTTCCAACTATCCTGGAATGGCGTGACCAGGGACCCTCTTGGTTGGGGAAGGGTTGATCGTTCAGGACAATGCATTTCAATAGTATCCAACATAGGTCCTCAACTTATGATCACAGAATTAGAGAAATTCCATTGTCAAGCAAGGCAGATAATAATTATTGTTGTTGTTGGAAGGGACTTTGGAGGTCATCTAGTCCAACCTCTTGCTCAGGCAGGAAACCCTATACCATTTCGGACAAATGGCTGTCCAGTCTCTTCTTAAAAACTTCCAGTGTTAAGTGATTCACATCTGATTTCGCAACCTCTTTTGCCAAGTTCAGAGATTGCTGTGTGTATAACACAGGAAGGTTACGCTTGTCCTAAATCAATAGCTCAGTCCCTGATTAGGACTAATCGTCTTCCTTTATCTCCTTCTTTTGTTGTTACACTGCTTTCCATTATGGAAGCTTGTAAAGAGAGGCAAAACAGGATAATAGATCCTGAAGTATTTCTTTGGAAGACTATGTATAAAAAAATTATTACAAAAAACAACGGATGGAAACTAATCAAGGAGAGAGGCAACCTGGAACTAAGGAGAAACTTCCTAACAGTGAGGACAATTAACCAGTGGAACACCTTGCCTTCAGAAGTTGTAGGTGCTTCATCACCGGAGGCTTTGAAGAAGAGACTGGACAGCCACTTGTCTGAAATGGTATAGGGTCTCCTGCTTGAGCAGGGAGCTTGACTAGAAGACCTCCAAGGTCCCTTCCAGCTCCTATTCTATTCTATTCTATTCTATTCTATTCTATTCTATTCTATTCTATTCTATTCTATTCTATTCTATTCTATTCTATTCTATTCTATATGAAACATCATTAGTTGTAGAGTTTTACCCACAGAGCCCCACTACCACTATAGACTTTTAAAACATATTGATCCTGATTGATCTGGCTATAAAACTGTTTGGAGGACTTCCCTTCTGTTGCACTGCTGTTTGGTGAAAGAATCCTTCGGAACAGAGAAGTAGTAAGAATTAATTGGTCAAGTTAACTAGTCGTTGGTTTATTAGCCTTTCTCAATTTAGTGTGTTAATAGGTTTCAACCCCTTCATTAATTTCATGCCTGAACCTCTCCTTATGGGTGACATGTTCCTCATAGAATAAAAGAATTTGAAATAACCGCAGACACTTGACTGTTATCTCCTCAATAAATGATAGGAAGATGAATGTACGAATCTGACTGCTGCATATCCAAGCATCTGTGGACAGAGGAGGCAATGGAGAAGGCCCAATTCATATTTCTTTTACAAAAATAAGTTTACAACCCATTTGGTGGGGATCCAAAGTGCTTCCTTCCCACTGTGAGCTTCATGGTCTTTTATAGTACTGTGGATATAAAAACGTGGCAGGCTGCCTGCGGAGGCAAAGATGCAAAGACCCTGGTGGAAAGCAATCAGAATATCAACCTGACCAATGTGATCTGATTGTGCCTTCAGGTCTGTGACTGTGACTCAGCAGAAGGAACCAGGCCAGGACCTCAGATGAGGCCATGACGAGGTTGCTCGTGACTCACTTCCCATCTTTTCTTCCTCCTACAATAACTGGAAGGCAAGGAGGAACGACAAGGGTGCAGATTTTTTTTTTCTCATGCCCACAGGCTGCACTTGATCTTTGAGTGGTATTGGAGCATGCCCAAAGTGTAGTGGAGCCAAGGGGAAAAAAATCAAATTAAATTTAGTTGTATTTAATAACAACATGATTACCGAGGTTATGCAATTCCTTGGATTCAGCTTCCAAGAGGTGCTTCAGAGCATGGAGGGAAGAGCACGGATTGTATCCCCGCTTTTTAAAACAGCTGTATCTTTTTGCAGGACGATGAAGCTGAACCGCAATGTGATCCTGGAAAGAGATATGGCTGCTTTCAAGAGTTGAGACAGATGCCCAGTTTGCAGTCCTGCCTGCTCTGAGGCACATACCTGGAATCAAATTAGAAATATTGTTTAGCCCAACCAAGGAGCCTCCAGCAATGCACTGAATTTTCCCATTAAAAATATGAGGAAAATAAAAATTATTTTACTTTTATTTAAACATCTGCTCCCAGTTAATAATTTGGGAGGGGCACCTGAAAGAGGACAGAGCACAGGAGCAAGAATTTCAGATCATACCTGAGGAGAACAAAATTGAAATCTTCAAGTTATGGAGGGTTGTCGTTAAAGGTGAAGCCAGGACATGCTTCGAACTGCTGTTTGGTTTCATAAGGCTGCATTGTACTTTGTTACAGCATGACTTCTCTTCTCCATAACTAAGTTGTCAGGAAGCCCTGTAGTACAAACAAATTCAGAGTAGTATTTAAGTTGGGAAGGGATAATGCTGAATGACAGCTGATGTTCTTACTTAAGCCGGGCCAAGCCACCCTAAAACACAATACCACAATTGTTACAGTGGAATTCGAGAAAAGGGTTGCATAATGGCTCAGGTACAATTTCATCACATGGGAATGAGGTAACTGCTTAGGCAACACATACACTTACAGTTCCTGGCGTGTTTAGACAGCACACACGGACGGACATGGTACTTGCGCTGACAGAAGCAGCAAGGCGATGGAAGCACGGGCTTTAATTATTCTGAATTTTTCCTATTTTATGTCTCTTCTGGCACTGGGATCTTGCATTCTTGGGGCAACTTTCACAGACACATGCCTTGCAAATCCTGCTCAAGGACCTGCCCAGCCTCTCTTTAAAAGATTAAAAAAAAAAAGTGATCTAGTTTTTCAGGGTTGCTGGGATTCCATAGTTCTCCCTCCTTCCTTCTCCTCCTCTTCTCCTCTTCAATGACCATCTACAGAATTTATTATAAGCAATTACACATTTCAGAAAACCATCAAGAAGGTCACAAGATTCTAAAGTTCTACTTCAAACATACAAATGAAAGAATAACATTTTGTTCCTCACAGGGGTCAACTAATGTCTCTGCACTGCTCACAAGCAAGAGACCAACACATGCATCTCTCTCATTGTGGTTTCCCTCTCATTGAACATAGAACATAGAATTATAGGGCTGGGAGGACCTCAGAGGTCTTCTAGTCCAGCCTTCTGCTCAAGGCAGGAGATCTTATACCATCCTGGACAAATGGTTGCCCAGTCTATTTCTGAAAACCTCCAGCAATGGAGCCTCCAGTTTATCTGACCTTTCTTTAAAGCCAAGTTAGTGGTCGTGACATCTGGTGGAAGAGAGACCAGGTCATTTGGCGGTAAATCCCACAGGTTAATTATGAACTATAAGAAGAAATGCTTGCTATTGTCTGTTCTAAATCTCCTTTATTGAAAGATGTCTTGATCCCAACTGCATGGAGAGAGAGGGAAAAAAATCTTTTTCTCCGTGTCGTACAAAGCTCTACACATCTGGATTATGTTCCATCCACTTGCCTTTTTTTCCCCCCAAGATCAACAACCCCAAACCTTCTAGATTTTTCTCATGAGAAAAGTGTTATAATCCCAAACACTTTGATTGTACTGTTTGGCGATTTTTCCAGTTTTATTGTATCTTTATAAAAGTGGCAACTAGAACTGTACACTCTAGTGCAGATGTGGTTATACATTTCTGTAAATTCATTACATGGCTTGCCATTTTATTTGCAATCCCTTTTTCTTATTAGCCATTTGTTTTTGTCCGGAGCTGTTTCATCCTGAGCCAACATCTTTATTGACCAATCCCTGATCATCTCCACATCCTGTTCTTGATTACACAGACAGCTCTGATCCCATCAGTGTATCCTGAAGCTTTTCCTTCTAATGCAACATCACTTGACCCTTACATAAATCAAACTACATTTGCCATTTGATTGACCATTCAACCTATTTAAAGACATTCTTTTTACAATCTCTTTTAATGTCATTTACATTCCCTCCCCCCCCCGCTTCTGTACAATCCTATCCAATTCTTGGAAATGGCCTAGAGAAATCCTTGCAGTTTTCCAGAAGTGGTTTGCCATTGTGTCATTCTTAGGGCTGAGAAAGAGTGACTGGCTCAAGGTTACTCAGCCCAGAAATAAAACTAATCCTCAAAGCCGTCTGTTAACCATTTGTTATTGTATTTAACATGCAGAAAGTCCATAAACGATTTCCAGTTTATGGTCCATAAACGCTTTCCAGTTCTTATGGACTTATCTAATCCATTATCTCTAATCAGTACAGTTAATTTCACCACATCCCAATTTAAAAAAAAAATTCAACATGCATAGCTTGCATTGCCTTGTTGTAAAACATTAACTTTCACCTGTATCATGACCTCCTAAACACATTCTAGCTGATATTATTCATGCCGCTGACATTCACAACATAGTTCTCATCAAAACTTAACACTGGGTCTGAGTTACACCCATCCTTGTTTCATCATGACTTTCAAAAATGTCAGTCAGGGATGAGAAATGTTTGAAGATCGGGAGGAGAACCCTGTAGTATTTAACAAGCTAAAGAAATGAGAGGCTGCGGGTGAGACTTTGCTGACTTCAGACTTTAATTTAAGGAGGACATGGACTGGAACAGCTGGATGTACTAAAGAAGGACCATAAAAATGGAGAAAAACTGGAAAACGAAGGAAGGTTGAATGAATTTGATAGATGAACATAGAGAAGGGATGTCCCAAAGTGCTTTCTTTCAAAAGGCAACTGGACTCTTGTTTTTCTTTGAAGATGTTGCTCTTCAGCTCTGACTGGATGGTGGGGAATGAAAAGATGTAAATTCCTTGCAGACAGCTGGTTATTTGCATTCTTCTAGAGAGTCGTTGAGGCCACTTGGAGGTTTATCTGTGTTGTCAGGATCACCTGAGTGGTACAAAGGGATGTGAAGCCTTCTTGGAACTGCTGAAAGGACTGTGTTGTAGATTGAAGATAGATGATGTCATATCCCTACCTCTCTGTTGACATACATGGTCTCTTTGACCCTTCTTTCCTCACCATCCAGTCAGAGCTGACGAAGCTTCTTGGATGACAAGCGAAACGTCTTCAAAGAAAAACAAGAAGATCCAGTTGCCTCTTGAAAATGCACCTTTGGGACAACCAGGACCTGAGTGACTGAGAATCTCCATAGACATAGAGAAGGGATGATGAAGATCATATCTGGCGTGGCTTTATTCAGAGGACCAGTGTACTGTAGTGGCAACGCAAAAGACTATTATAATTTCAAGGCGTTTAGTGACATATTGTCCTATCCCGCTCACACTGGCACTAGCCACAGGTATTAGGCATCTTTACTGAGCCCCAGATAGTCTTCCCCAGAAATTCCCCATGCCAACACCAGTGTAACTCCCAAGGAATTCAACAGTCTAGTCCATAAAAAAAAACCAGAGCAAATCCACAGGGAAAAGGCAAGTCCACAAAGCAAAAGCAAGTCTAGAAGGCACATTCAGAGTTCATGGTGGCTGGGGAATTCTGGGAATTGGAGTCCACAAGTCTTAAAAGTTGCCAAGGTTGGACCCCACCCTGCTCTACTCAGTTCAAATGAATTCATTTCATGCCATTGAGAGTGACCATTTCTTAGGACCTTGGGAGAAATGCAACACAAGCCAAGAAGAACACAACGTTGGAAGCAACCCGGAAGGTTGCTATTTATATCCCAATAAACTGGGGTGGTTTTCCACTCACTGCTCAGGTTGCTGATGCTTCTGCCAAGGGATTTTTCCCATGGCCTGTTATTGGATCCTTTTAAACTAGATATGAAGCAATAAACCTTCATGAGAACTTGGGTAAGAAGAGAAGATCATTTGCCATAAGCCATAATAGATCTTTCCCTCTATGAGTTAAATGAATGTTGGGCTGATCAGGGCATGGAAAGAACGAGTTTCAAAAAATAGTCCCTTTTGATTTGAGGTTCTGCCCTCTCTTCCTTCTCATCTCGGTGGCCTTCAAACTGCTTGGGAAATCAACCTAAACTATTCTGATGAGACAGAATAGAGTAACACAGTTGGAAGGGATCTTGGAGGTCTTCCAGTCCAGCCCCCTGCTCAAGGCAGGAAACCTTATTCCATTCCAGACAAACAGTTGTTCAATCTCTTCTTGAAAACCTCCAAGGCAAGCCCTTCCACTGGTGAATTGTTCTCACTGCTAGGAAATTTCTCCTTAGTTCTGTATTGGGTCTTTCTTTAATCATCTGCCGTCCGTTACTTCTTGTCCTGCCCTCAAGTGCTTTGGAGAATAAGTTGGCCCTCCCTTCTCTCTCTCTCTCTTTTAAAAAAAATATATTTTATTGATTTTTTTTTACAATAGCAATCTTTAGTGCTTAGTAAACCACGTGTTGTCTGGGTTCATATATTTAAAAACAGGCAATCATAATTAATTTCTATAATTCCATAATCAATATATTAGTTAATGATATATTTCCTTGATCTTCTCTTCTTCCAGTAGTTTTCTCCTTTGTCAACATTAAACGAATATCATTCTTAATACTTTCGATACATACGAGGTTGACTATAAACATTTTTCTTGTGTTCTTGCGTTCAGATAACAATAACATCAACATATAACATCTTTCCTGATCGACTTATGTTCCAATTGTATTTGTACAAATTTGTACAATTGTATTCCCCTTATCTCTGGCAGCCCCTCAAGTACAGGCACGCTGCTATCCTATCGCCCCTCGTTCTTCTCTTCGTTAGACGAGACAGACCCAATTCCCGCAACCGTTCGTCATAAATGGAACAGATGCTTTTTTTAGTTTCTCCAAGGAAAGAACTGAATCTTTGGAATCTGCTCAGCACAGAGCGGCCCTTGTTTTCTGCACCTTCTTCACTGTGATTTGTTCAAATATAGCTGCTGTCCCATATCACGGCTGACCTCTTCACGAGAACAAGCTTTCCTTTATTCCAGTAATGCAACTAGTTTATTACAAGAATGCTTTCACTCTCTTTTAGTCAGAGTGAGAAAGTGAGAAACTGTTCCTTGGAAACCAAGTCCTCAACGAGCTCTCTGGGACTTCATTCAGACGGCCCATTAGAATGGGATTAGTACATGTAGGAATACTACTGTGGGGTCCTTGGTGCTCTCTGGGCTTGATGGTTTTCTTGCAGATGTTTCATTGACAAACTAGGTAACATTATCAGTGCTAGAAGGGAGTGGAGTTTGGGAGGATCTAAACCAACAGGATTCTGAGCTATTGTCCCTTTAGTGGCTACACTTTTGGGGAGGAGCAGAAATCCCCTTCAAAAAAATTGCTCTTAAATGGTATTAAAGTAATACTTGTAATTGCTTTTCCCCAAGTGAGGTTAAAATAGACACCCCAACATTGAACTGGAGAAAATTGTGGATACATTAAAAAAAAAAAAAAATTCAAAGAGGACGAAAGGAAAGGAAGAAGCAGGAGAAAAAAAGCTGGTTATCTTTTACTGCCACCTAGTGGCACAATGTAGGAAAGCAGTAAGCATCAGAGATAGCACTTTGCACTTAGACTTATATACTGCTTCACAATGCTTTACAGCCCTCTCTAAGCGGTTTACAGATTCAGCCTCTTGCCCCCAACAATTTTACCGATCTTGGAAGGATGGAAGGCTGAGTCAATCCTGAGCCAGTGAGAATTGAACTGCTGGCAGTGGGCAGAATTAGCCTGCAATACAACATTTGATCATTGTGCCACCATGGCAAGAATGGAATGGAATAGAATAGAATAGAATAGAATAGAATAGAATAGAATAGAATAGAATAGAAATAGCCCTTAGACTTATATACTGCTTCATAGTGCTTTACAGTCCTCTCTAAGCATGTTTACAGAATCAGCATCTTGCCCTCAACAATCTGGGCCCTCATTTCGGAAAGATGGAAGGCCGAGTCAACCTCAAACTCCTGGCAGTAGGCAGAGTTAGCCTGCAATACTGCATTCTAACCACTGCGCCACCACAACTCTTCTCTTCAAGAGTCTTCCAGGGTGCCCACTAGTTTCATGTGTTGGTTGGAATAAAATGCCTCTTACCATCTCTACTTGTTCACTAAGATACCCATTCTGCTATGTGCAAAGAAGAAGGAAAAAGAAGAATAAAGAATATTTGTGGAGCAGACCAAGGGAACTTGATTAAAAAGGACAGACACGTTTTTGAGAAATTGCAACTTTACTCAACATCTGCTTGGTCTGAAGATAGCAGCAAGTCAAATGAAGGGGAAAGGCCTGGTGTAAATAAACAAGGAACAGGAAACGGCTTTGAGCAAGGTCTTGAAGTTGCTTCCAGACCAGCAGAGCTGGTTGACCTGACTCTTACCATATTGTCTTTTATCTTAACACTATTTTACAAGAACTAGAGCATAATTCAAACACTGTGAACTCCACTCTTATCCCAAGAGAATGGCCGTGGCTCCCTTTTGAAGCCTAACGTGTGATTTTTGGAAAGACGCGTCACTTGATTATAATGCACATCCAATTCTGCCCTGGGTCCCTTCACTGTTGAAAACGGGCGCAAGGCTGTTGGGGATGAATCCATGTTGTCTGCATCCCAAACTGAAGCGCAGATGGTTCTTGGAGTCTGCAATGTTTTCTGGGTAAATCCGTTCATCCTCCCTCACCATCCGAAGGGTGTCCATCCCAGAGTGCATAGTTGAAGTGTAGAGTTTGAAATGAACACCCCAAATATGACTGTTTTTCACACTTATGACTGTTGCAGCAGCATCACTATGGTCACGTGATCAGACTTCCGTTGCTTGGCAACTGACTCAAATTTATGATGGTGTCCTGGGGTCCTGTGATCCCCTTTTCGGACCTTTTGACAAGCAAAGTCAATGGGGAAGCCAGAGTCCCTTCACCACTGTGTTACTAATTTAACACAGTGTTTCATTTAATCATGAAGGTCGTAAACTGGGACAAAGTTCACTTAACGACTGTCTCACTTAGCAACAGAAATTTTGGGCTCAATTGTGGTGGTAAGTCGAGAATGACCTGTAACCCACAACTCAAATCCACACCATTAATTGTCACATTATCTCAGGCTTCCTTCAGCAGCCAATAAAAACACGATGCAACGTCATTACCATAATGTCATTTATTTGATTAAAATACAGAAAGGTAAACTCTGGAAAACTCTTCAAGTCAGAAAAGAGAAAACGTGACGTGTACTTCTCACCAAAATGCACACTTAACGCTTCCAATAACTCTACCTTAAAAAATCAGTTGCATTATTAAAGAGATAAAACACCTGAGAATCACTTTGGAAATATAAAATATCCCACCAGAATATCCATTCTGGTATATTAATTATCAAGTATCATAGGCATAAATAGGCATCCCAAATGGCATAGGAATATCGAGTATTCTTAGGACAGTGTATGATTTTTAAGGAAAGCAACACCATTTCACAGAGATTGCACGAGCTTAAGAAGGAACTTGATTTCTCATGAAAATCTAAAAATTCTCCCCGATAACGATCAGATTTAACTACACAGTGACTGAATAGCCTATAGCAGGGGTCTTCAAACTTGGCCCTTGCCTGGCTGAGGAATTCTGGAAGTTGAAGTCCACAAGTCATAAAAGGGCCAAGTTTGAAGACCCCTGAACTACACCACTGCAAATGCAAGAAGGTGTGTGTGTGGGGGGGGAGGATAACTCCACCCAAAGTGATAAGAAGTCAGTTATTCCATGAACTTTCTTAGCTAAGAAACAGTTGGCTAACAAGCTTAAAGCTAAGCACAAATGTCTTTATTAGAGTCCTTGATTTGCAACGATTTGTTTAGTGACCGTTCAAAATTACAGAGGCACTGAAAAATATGACCATTTTTCACACTTACGACCATTGCAGCCTCTCCGTGGTCATGTGATCAAAATTCAGACGTTTGGCAACTGACTCATATTTATGACGGTCGCAGTATCCCGGGGTCACGTGATCCCCTTTTGCAACCTTCGGACAAGCAAAGTCATTGGGGAGGTCAGATTCGCTTAACAGCCATGTTGCAGACTTAACAATTACAGTGATTCACTAAACAATTGTGTCAAAAAAGGTTGCAAAATCGGCAACAGAAATTTTGGGCTAAATTATGTTCATAAATCAAGGACTACCTGTATACATTTTTCATTGGCTATATTTACATAATAGACTGTTAATTAACCAACTGAATTTATCCCAAACATACCATCCTAGGGGATCAGCAACACATAGTAGTTATCGATGAGTAAATATTGTGTAGACAACAAATGCTGGGTTATCTCCCCAGCATTTAAGAACAGGCCAAATCTAAGATCCAAATGAAATGATAGTTTCCAACATCCATAAGTAATCATCAGTTTGCTTGGAGGAAGTCCCTTCATAAGGAAAACAGCACTGTTTCCCAAGCCATGTTGTGTTAGCCACACCCTTCATATCAAACTTCTAATGATTTCAAATGATGGCACTCAATTTCCTTATGCCATTTAACAAGAAATCAACTTCACCGGCTTGAAAAATTACGGAGCTGAGGATTATTTTCAAGAAAAGCTACACAATAGACTGAATTTATTCTTCATGGGTTGAGAAGCATCGACCCTGCTACAGTCCAATTATTCACAGCTTTTTGAAGCCCAATGCTCTTCAGATGTCAGCTTCCAGCTTGCTGGATGTCCTTTGCCAGCATCTCCCAGAATTCCCCACTCCTTCGTCATGCCACCTGAGGAATGATGGGATGTCCTGCGAAGGAGAAGTCAGGCTTGGTCTCCTAATCATCCTCATCCTCATCCTGGTGCCGGTATTTGAAATGGACCACCGTCATGAGGAGGCCACCCAGGATACAGGCAGAGCCCAGGACCAAGAAGGCAATGCCCAAGAAGGGATTCTTACCCCCCATCCAAGAGAGGGTGCTCAAGATGACCTTCTTGGTACCGTGGAAACCCAGCACGGGGTAATTGTAGCTGATGTTCAGGTAGTATGTGCCCGGGGGCAGTGCCCCCGAGAAGTTGTCGTGGCGGATGCGGGCGTAAAGCTTTCGGAAAGTGGGCAGGGCAGCCGTGCGCATCCAGACAATGAATTCCTCATTGACAAAGCCCGTGTTGTTGACGTCGTAGGGGTCCAGCTTGCAGACCTCCCGGGACCAAAAGGGAGGCTTGGCCGTGCCGCTGAAGGCCAGGCACAAGCTGTTGTTGACCGGCTCCGGGTTTTGGAACTTGACGTTAGTGTCGGTCCACCAGGAGATACCCCGCTTATCCAACGTCACGTTGGCCAGAGAGCCGTTCTGCAGCTGCTGGTAGAGCTCAAAGGTGTCATTGAAGAGGCTGTTGGCCACCGACCCGCAGGGCGCGATGGGCAGCCCCTGGCTGTTGTACTGGTAGGGCTGGCACTCCTGGAAGGGGTGGCGCAGCGCCCAGGCGATCCCGCTGAGCTGCTCGTAATCTCGGGAGATGCTGTAGCGCCGGTTGTTCTGGAAGTAGTTGGAGAGCTGGTAGTAGAGGCAGACGGGCAGCGGGAAGGCGGCGGGCAGCTGGAATTTCAGCCAGCACTGGCAGGAGGGCACCCGGCGTGGGTTGCTGCTGTTGGTCAGGCTGGCGCAGCTGGAGCAGTTGGTGCCGGGGGCCCCGGTGTAGTCCAGCTCCAGCTCCTGGATGCCCGCCGAGGTGAAGTGAAGGCCCAGCCCGATGGCCAGGAAGGCGAGGCCCAGTCCGAAGAAGAGCGGCAGCACCGTGCCCGCCGACAGCAGCGGCTGCCAGGCCGGCAGGCGCTGCTGGGTGAAGGCCGTGTTGTCCGGCCGGTTGTGCAGCGGCGGCGGCGCCTCGTGGAAGGCGCGGCTGACATTGTAAGAGCCCGAAGCCATGCTGCCCTCCGGCCGATCCAGCGCCGCTGGCCCCGCCGCCCTGCCCCGGAGCCCGCGACCGCGCCCTCGGAGTAGCCCGAGCCCGGAAGCCGCCGCCAGCAGGGACAGGTGGGCGGGCCGCGGCGGCCTCTCGCGCGCCTCAGGTGAGGGCGGCGGTCTCGGACAGGTGGGCGGGGACGCCGCCGGTTGGGACCCGCCCCTCCGGCCTCACCTGCGCGCCGGGAAGGAAGGCGCAGGTGAGTCCAGGGCTCAGGACTCGTCGCCCCGCCCTCACCTGCGCGCCGGGAAAGAAGGCGCAGGTGAGTCTGAGCCCAGCAAGAGGCGTCCCCGTCCTCCCATCCGGTGGTTTCGAGCCGGGCGGGCGGACCTTCCAGGTGGGCCGTTCCGACGGCACTGGCTGCCCCCTCCCGCTGGTTGCCTGAGGGCCGCCGGGGCCGGCCTCTTCGGTGGCGGGTCCCTCTCTCGGCTTTCTCCATCCCATCGTGGCAGAGAGGGAATCCCGCCTTTGGGAGAGGGTTCCCCCCCCCCCGCTTGGCAACCTGAAGACGCCTGGACCTGGGAGCTGAAGCCCCCGCGTGGCCTTGAATTAATGAATGCAAGTAATTGTTCGGGGGGAACACTCAGTGGAAAGGCTAGCCTCTAGAAGTTGCTCCCTCGCTGGAGGTTTGCAGGAAGAGATTCGACCACCGTTTGTCTGAAATCTGATAAGATTTTCTGCTTGAGCAGAGGGTTGGACTGGAAGACCTTCAAGGTCCCTTACGACTCTGTTGTTCTCTAGTCTGCTTTTGGAAGAGAGAAAAACGGCCTTTCCGGCTTGGCCCTCCGCCTTGCACTTCCTGGCTTTTGTCCTCCGACCATCCAGTCTCCCAGTCTCCCCCTTCCCCTGGTCCATCTTGAGTTTATGGATCAGGAACAGGGTACCTATCTTAAGATTTGGTGCTTGGAGATGTCAGGGACCCTGCAATACCCAACGGAGCCGCCAAGGGGCACTGTGTCCTCTAACTTCCCCTACGTTTTCCCCATTGTCAGTCAATATCCCAGCCAGCCCCACAGGGACTGCCTAAGGCCCTAATGGGGAGGCTGCAGCGGTCATAAGTGTGAAAACCGGTCCTAGGTCACATCTTTCAGTGCCGTTGTAACTTCACACGGTCACTAACTGAACTGCTGTAAATGGAGGACCACCAGTACCGAGGACTGCACCAGCCTGAAGGAAAGAGGCATCTAACACCTGGTAAGGCAACAGCTGCTGAAAATGGAAGTGGAACACCTGGTTTTAGCTGTGGGCAGCCCAGCCACTTCAGAGAGTAACCTCAAGGGAACAGAGGCCTTGACTGTTCTCTGTCTGCTTTATTTAGATCCCCTGGGGTGACAGGGGTTGCCTGCAAAGTCCCAACCTGTGGATCAGAGGGAAAAAAAGGAAAAGTGGGATCTGCCCCAAATATTGCAGCATGGGAAGCATCTGTTCAGAGACTTGGATGGCTTCCAGACCCATCTTTTATTTTTTTGAGAGGCCCTTGGTGCTCTCTGAGCTTGCTTGTTTTCTTGCTGACATTTCATTACCAAACTAGGCAACATCATCAGTGCTAGAAGGGAGTGGTGATTTGTGAGGAGAGGAGGAGGACGACGACTGTGGGGTCCTTGGTGCTCTGGGAATTTGGTTGTTTTGTTGCAGGCATTTCATTACCAAACTAAGCAACATCATCAGTGCCAGGAGGGAGGGGTAGTTTGCAGTGATGTTACTTAGCTGAATAATGAAATGTCTGCAAGAAATCAACCAAGCTCAGAGACCACCAAGGATCCCCCATTTCATCCCTCAGCTGCAAATATACACTTGGGGTGTACACTTGGAGAGCAAGCAACTAAATTTCCTTTTTAATGTGTGCCGTTGTGCCCACAGTAAAAAATGACAATAAAGGTTATCTAATATCTAAATATTCCCCTCTATCAGTACCTCATTTATTTTTTCATCTCCTTTATGTCCGTCTTTTTTTCTTAATTAAAGAAATTGAATACTTGCAGGAGTCTCTCAAAATCTGGCCATAATGGGACAAAATTCACTTATCAAATGTTGTGCTTAGCAACAGAAACGTTGGGCTCAATTGTCATCATAAGTCAAGGACTGCTTCTATAATGCAGCACAAACACACTCCCTTTCCCTTTTGGGTTGTCGCTTGTGTGAGAGAAATCCTCACAGTGCAGTGTGGCTTTTAAAAATCCCCTCCGGCAAACAGCTTCAGGATTGCATCAGCCACTTAACCTGGGCCACGCTTCCTCTCTTGCACAATGTGAAACCAGCACCTGGTTCTATCCAGAAAGGCAATGTCACACAAGGCTGCAAATTACAGGCCGTACCTTGAAATGCAGGTAACTGTCTCCAGGAGAATTTCTTCCATAAACCCATAACAATTATATCACTATGGCCTGGGAATGCTTCTGAACAACATGCAGCTACGCTTCCTCTCTGCAAATCTTGTGGTTGGCAAAAGATTTCTGCTGTTTGGTAATGCCAGCAACCTACTGGAGAAGACCATTTTTTTTAAACTAGCAGAACTATTATGTTGCTAGGACAGTGTTTCTCAACCGTGGCAATTTTAAGATGGGTGTCCTTCAACTCCCAGAATTCCTCAGGAAAATGCTGGCTAGAGAATTCTGAGAGCTGAACTTCACACACCTTAAAGCTGCTGAGGTGTAGAAACACTGGATTAAACTGTCATCTAGTGGGACGTTGCTGGTGTGCCTTGTCTGTCATGACACCCACACTCTGGAATGATTACTGGATAACTCCCAGCCTGATGACACTCTGATAATCGTTAAAAATTTGGTTGTTCTCTTGGATATTAAACAAGGTGATCGCTGAACCACTCTTGAATAGGATTTTGGCAGATCTCTCTCTCTTGGTACTGTCCATGAATTTATTATTTTTGTAATTATAAGTCACCCAGAGTTGAAATAAATAAACTAATAAGAATCTCCCCTAGTAGGAAAATGGCAACAAAGTGCTCAACAGTGAGCAAAAAAGCAAAAATAAATAAAGATCTAAGGTGGTTTTAATGGCTTCCTCACTTCGAAACATTCAATATTAAATGTTATTTCTTATCTCTTGAGTTACTATTTTGATTTCTGGCTCATTTGACTGGAGAAAGATTTTACAAGATCCACAAGACTGAAACTGAAATAGTTAAATTGGTTTCTGGCATAGAAAGTGGATGTAAAAACTAAATGAAACAATAAGTTGCTCCACTCTTATGTAACTGTTAATTGCTCTGATATTGTGTTGTTTTCTTTTATGGGTTCTATTTTTTTTCACTTTTTAAAGCACTTTTTATGTGTACCTTTTTTTTTCTTTCAAAATGTTCGCATTAGCATTATAATGATTGAGATCCTTTCCTTTTTGTGTTATTTTTATAAAGGCAATTAAAAATAAATAAAAAGTTGCCCGGTTCTTGCTTCAGCTTAGAATGATGCAATTATTTCAGACTCGCCTAACAAGTTCACTCAGCCATTAATTCTCTGCCAAGGACTCAAGATACCTGGCTGAAAGTTACCATTCCAGATTTGTACATGCCAACACGGACAGAGATCTACAGTCCTGTTTCTCAACTTTGGCAAATTGAAGATGGGTGGTCTTCAACTCCCAGAATTCCCCAGCCAGAAATGCTTTAGGGCTGGCTGGGGAATTCTCGGAGTTGGTCCACCCATCTTAAAGCATGCTGCCTGAGGAATTCTGGGAGCTGAAGTCCTCTCAACTCACAGCATGCTGGCTGGGGAATTCTGGGAGTTGAAGGCCACCCATCTTAAGGTAGTCCAGGTTGAAAAGCAGTACTCCAGACAATAGAAGTAAACTAATCCTCTCAGGATTTAAACCTGAGAGGTAGGCAAAAAACCAGGCCAGAATCTGCAAAAGTCCCAAAACAGGCCCACAGCTTGCAGCGTCCCAGGGACAGAGCTCCACATATCCGTTCAAAGACGACTCTCAGCTCTGGGGCAGGGGACGGGGGAGACCATCTGCATTTGCCAGTCTATAGAGGAGGATTTTCAAATGCAAATGAGCTGAGCTTGGCTCTAACACCTGAGCGAAGGAGCTTAACAAATCCGGTAGATAAAGTAGGAAAACATCAGCTACAAGTAGAACAGATAGGAACATGGAGATAAAAGGCTGAGATAGACATTTACATATTAAAGTAAATAGCAAATCCTTGTCAATGTAAAATGAGATGAAGACTCTAGATTAAAATGAGGAGGCAACTAGAGAAACAATGGGCAGCCTTAGCAGGAAGGTTGGAAGTCAAGCACAGGCCTTTGATTTTGTATAATAAAAGAGCTTTTGTGGGAGGAAAAAAAATTCACCCTTTGTGCTTGTGATCTGTACCAGATTAAAGAAAACCCAAATAGCATTAGTTGGGCAATATGAAATGTTTGAAGTGGCTCCCTGGTTAAAGATGGTTAATTTATGTGGGTAAATTAAGGGATGGAGCACAGTGTGACTGATACCTTTTTTCCTTGGGGCTTTCTTCATTTGCCCCAAATAGATGGGTCTCCCTTTGTGTGCCTGTGTGTGTGTCAATGGGCTGAGTCTTATTCATCCGTCCATCCATCCATCCAATTTCTTATGGCTGCCCAACTCAATCAAGGGACTCTGGGCCCTACGATTGACCAAGGTCCTCTAATTTCCCCTGAGAAATAAGAACTGGGAAGGTTTTCCTCGTCTTCTCTAATACTGCATCCAGTTTTGCTCACCACATTGTAAAAAAGATGAGACCTTGGAAAGAGTGCACAAAAGAGCCACAAAACGATTTGGGGTTTAGAGATTAAAAGATATGATAAACGGTTGCAGGACTTGGGTATGGCTAACCTAGTGAAAAGAAGGACTAGGCAATGATGGGATACATAAAGATACTTGAATAGTGTAATAAGACGACTTCCAATATTCTTCTCCGTCCCAGTTTCCAGCTGCCAAACCTCAATTTAAAAGCCAAAGCTGCCAGGGTTAAAGAGCTAAACGCTGCAAAACAGAGCTGTTGCATTCATTTTACACAATGTCCAAACGCAGCACATTGCAATTTAATGGGACTGCCTGGCCCACGCCTCGTTTTAAGGCAAGGGCTGCATTCCCACCACACAAGCAACCTAATTTTAGTTTAGCTTTGATTTCTTATGGGAACGCAGCAGCAACAGTAAACACGGTTACGAAATGCGGAAGCCTGCAGAGACTGTGGACTTCAACTCCCTTCCACCCCTGCCGACCAAGCCAGAGGCGAGGAATTGTGGGAATGGTAGTCCAATAGGGGACGATGTGTGCCGTGTACCAACCAAGCTCAACTTCCCGCCTCCGGATTGACAAGCCCCTTTCGACCTCCTCCCGCCCTATCGCGTCTTCTCTTCCATCCTTTCCCGCCAGCGGCCTCTCCTGATAGGCCCACGTCTGACTCGAGGTCGTTCTGACGGCCAATCCCCGGCGGCCACAGCGACGTCGCGACAATGCGGAGGCGTGGCCTGAGCCGCCCGCGAGGCTATAAAGGCAGCCGTCGCCGCCCCAGCGCCGCTGTCGTCGTCGTAGAGCGAGAAACGCTTGTGGGGAGTTGAAGGGTTCAGAGGCCGCAGAGGATATGGAAAACCGGCAAGCCGAGGAGGAAGCGGCGGCGGCGGCGGCGGCTGTGGACGAGGTCGGCCTCGTCGTCAAGAGCCCCGCTCAGCGCCACCCGGACCTGCTTCTGTCGGCCCGGCGCTCCTGGAGCGTCCGGCGCCTCAAGGCGGAGCTGCGACACCTTCACCCGGATGAGCCGGTGAGCTCTGAAATGCGCATGCGCATTCGGCCAGCCTCTCTCTCTCCCCACTTCCCTTCCCCTTGCGCGAAGTGGAGCCTCCTCGGATGGGCGCAATCTATCCAACTTCGGTTTGCTGGCTGGGGATGGCGTGCCAAGATTTGTGGGCCTCTGGGTGGGTTTCTAGGGACGGGCCCGAGGCCGAAGGCTGGCCTAGCTGGCTGGGGCTTGGGAGGAAGCGGGTTTCGAAAGCCGCTTAAGCGCCTTTTCCTGCTTTTTTTTGGGGGGGGGGGCTTGGGCGTCCTTTCCTTCCCCATCGCCGTTGGGACAGTAGAGTGGTGCGGTTGGGGATGATGGGAGTTGTCCCCTGCCGGCATGGAAGCCCTTTGGACCTGGCTAAGGATGGTCTCTTGAGTCTCCTCCCCAGCCACCCCGGTTGGCCTCCTTGCCAGGTCAGAGGATGGAGCTCTGAGCAAGTGCAGAGTGCCTTTCCTCTATTGGGTAATTCAGAGCTTTCAAAGGTTGCATTTGAAGAAGAAAAAATGCGCAGTTCCTTGCAGGGTTGGTTTATTCCAGTGCCTTTCTGAACATGCACAGAGTGCATTGGCTCTGGCCCAGGATTCAGGGCAAGGCCTTGTTTTGTTGGTCTGGAAAAAAAAGGAGTTCCTTGCATTGTTGATTTATTGCCTTTCTGAGAGAGAAGTTGCTAGGCAGGCAGGAAGTTTTTCTCCATTAATTCTAGGAAGTCGCTTTTCTCCAAAATGGCTTCTGTTCCAGTTTGTTGAGGATTTCCTGGTGGCCTCCCGTCCCAGGACTAACCAAGGTCTGACCCTATCAGCCCCTGGAGTTGGGTGGCCTGTTCCAAATTTTAAAGGAATTTCTCAGTCATTCCTGGCACTGCCTGCTATGCTCACCAGAGATGTCCCTTGTGTATTTTGAATTTTCTCTTTTAAAAAAATCTGAGTAGTGGGCAAGGATTTAGCCTGATTTTTTTTTACCCCTTGTGAGTTAGGTTTGGCTGTAGAAGGCGTTCCCCTCCCAAAAAATAATAAATAAAAATCCTTGCTATGTGGGTTGGCTCTTTGGGGAACCAGTCTGATCCGTTTTTCCTGCAATATTTTCATGGAAATTGTTAATATTGTTTAGCATGATGACATTTCACTGGGCGTGTTGGTATTTGGAGAACAATTAGTGGAACAGCTTGCCTCCAGATCTTGTGGGTGCTCCATCTCTTAAGAAGAGATTGGACAGCCATCTCTACAAAATGGCCTTAGAGAGTCTCTGCTTCAGCAGAGGGTTGGACTAGAAGACCTCTAAGGACCTTTTAATCTCCGTTATTCTATTTGTCAGATCAGAACTTTCAATATTTCCTTGTGGTTGCTGGCCTCTTGCTTGTGAGAATTGTAGCTTCAGGACACAAGGCCAAAGTGAGATGCTTTCTCCATACCAGCAATCAGTACATTTATTACAAAACATTTATAGTCTGGGTCATCTGATTGGAAAAAGAATAACATTTTGTCCTTTGCATATTTTTATCTGTTCATTTGCAGTAAAACTCCCCATATTTCCATTTTTTTCCCCAAAGCATCCTTCTGTGAACAGCTTTGGTTGCTTGCTGTTGATACTCAGAAATTTTAGGCGTCTTTCTAAAAGTTAGTGCTTAAAGTAGAAAAAAATATATAGTTTATGGCTGCTTTTTTGTATCTTTCCTCCTACAAAACAAATCATTCTGACTCGATTTGCTTTGCAAAGCAGATGGTGCGACTGAGCCAACTTGGCAGTATTTTATTTGTTTAAAGATCACTCAAAAGGAGAAGAGGTTTCGGTACAGTTTCATAATGTTTGTGTGTTTCTGTATTTTGGAAACTGTCTCCCTTTGCCTGATACGGACAAGGCTAAATACTTTGGCCATTTGATAACAAGATAAGAAGCCTCCATTGGAACTGCCTACATCTTGCCTGCTGGAACAGGAGTAAAGGCAATAAAAGTTTTCTTTGTACAGGAAAGGCAAAGGAATGAAAGAACAATCTCAAAACAATGCAATGGGTTGTGGTAAGATAAAGTGTCCCAAGACTGGGTGGTGCCTGTGACCTTCCCTGGCTTTTGGGAAGTTATTTTGCAGCAACCCTCATTCCCCAAGGCCGCTGGTGATGTAGGCTGGGTGGTGCCACTCAATGTTGCTCATTGTCCATCTATTTGGCCTTTTGGCCTTGCATGCCAGCTAGCCCCAATGACCTGCAACGTAGCCTGTTGATTGTACAATGGGGTGTTAGGATTTGACCCTTTCTGCTTTGAGCTTGTGCTTAGTCTTCCGCCCAGGGATTTCTCTAGAGAAGCTTGGAGCAGGGAAACGTGTCTTACTCTGCCCGTAAAAGTGCCAGCACTACAAAACCAAACGTGCAGAACAACCAGTTCCCCAGACTGATAGCCTCCACATGTTTTGTTTGTTATTTTTGTGTGGGCTTACTTCTCATTGAAAAACGCCTGGTTGGAAAAGGCTAGTAAAAGCCGGTCTTTACATCCAGAATTCTTTACATCCAAAATAACAGCAGTGAATCGCTAAGGATAATAGTGCCTCAGCTTAACGACAAAGCATGGGGTTATCTGAAGGTTAAGGGTCTTATTGAAATCTACTATGAGCTGCTAATTAATGTGATCAAAAGAAAAGGTGGCATGATAAAGCTTCCTGAAAGATGTCAATGATTAACATAAATGCCTACAAATTTGGCCTTAGGCTGGTAATAATTGCAAAAGCTTGATATTCTCCCAAGCTGTTCTGTCTTACCTGGCTTCAGAAGTGCCTGGCTGAGGAATTCTGGGAGTTGAAGTCCACAAGTCATAAAAGGGCCAAGTTTGAAGACCCCTGATACAGGGGAATAGATAACAAATCTTAAATAGCTTCCTTTAAAAAAAAATGTTGCTCTCTAGAATATATTGAAACTAGTGTCTTTATTTACAATCAGCTCCTTCTGTAAACGCTTCTGTGCAATTGGCATTTGTTGCAACGATTTAACTGATCTTTTAAGCCTATTGATGAAAGACCCAATATCTCCATGTGCAACTACAGTTCAGCCACGGATGAAACAACTGGAATCCAGCTCTAATCTCATTCAAAAGGGAAACATTTACCTCACGAGAAGTGACCACAAGGTCATTGCTTAGCCAGTTGTCCAGAGTTCGGCTGTTTATAATTTAAGAACAAGAATCCACGCTTGCACATTTACAGGAATGAGGAATCTTATTCTTAAAAAAGAAAAGAAAAAAAACTCCACCATTTTAACTGCTGTCTTTTTTCACTTCAAAGCCTGAAGACACTCAGAGGTTGATTTATTCTGGAAAGTTGTTGCACGACCATCTTTTTCTGCAAGAAGTCCTCACTAAGGTACGTGGCGTTTGACCTGCTAGCCTTGCTTTCAGCAGTTAATGGAAGATCAAGAAAATGTCTCCCCTGAGTTCCCATTTGAAGCTTTAATATGCTTTCTGTTTCAGCAGGAGACGGTTCACGCTCTCCATTTGGTGTGTAACTCCAAGAATCTGCCCAAGATGCAAGGAACTGACATGAAGGTATTGAGAAGCGATCCTTCGAGATGTTAGCTTCTCACTGACTTTTATCATATATTTTGTGATCTTGGCAAGATTTTTATATTGTACCGACCTGTTATGGGGATTTTTCGATGGAGGTGGGGACTGATGTCAAAAGGCCCAGCGGATGGCTGGATGTAAGTTCTTCCACAGGTGAACCACCTGAGGGAGGCTTATGTTTTCTTGATCAGCAGTACTAAGAGGAGGAAATTGGGTCTGTAGGAAACCATTCTAGGACTGTTTCTCAACCTTGGCAACTTTTAAGAGGGGTGGAATTCAATTCTCCTGGCTGGCTGGGGAACTCTGGGAGTTGAAGTCCACACATCTTAAAAGTTGCCAAGGTTGAGAATGTTCCAGGATGTAGGAAATCAGACAACACCTCACAGAAAGCCAGAATTAGTTCCAGTTTTGGTTTATTGATCACAATGGCCCAATTTCCATGTTGTGCAACCTCAGGAAGGCTTCCTGGCTGTGTTTGGCTTAGCAGGTGAACAGAGCCGTGATTCTATAGGTAGAATTGGGGATGGAGGTTCATTCTCCAAGCTTGTGGGTTGATTTCCGAACATTTCATTACCAGTCTAGGTAACATCTTGAGTGGAGTCTATCAGTGTCAGTATTCTTCTGTTTATAAGGGCTTTGTGTGGTCAGTCAAGTGAGGCTCTTGTGATGGAGGTGTGGGCTGCATCCTTTCCTCATTACCTTTGCTTTCCCAACAAGATGGAATCCTTTGCTTTACAGCAGGGGTCTGCAAACATGGTGGCTTTAAGACTTGTGGACTTCAATTCCCAGAATTCCTCAGCCAGCCAGTCCACAAGTCTTAAAGCTCTGCTTTAGAGGACTCTGGGTGGCTGTGAAATGGAGGTGAATACTCGGAGCAGACGTTTTGAAGCCTGTTTTAAAATGCAGCGGCAAATTCCTTTTGTTTTAGGTGGCTGAGGCCAAGCAGCAGTCCACTGCATCGGGCCAGAACCCTTCGGATCTTCCCCCAGCGTCTGCTCCCAGCCAAGAAGAGGCTCCCCCAGGCCCGTCTGTGACCACAGAGGAAGCTGCCACAAGGTACGTTTGAGCATCCAAATTCTTATTTTGGGGTCGAAGAACAGAAGCTTCTGTGATTTGACAGTGAAGATTCTCAGCCATCCAGGTAGTCTTGTCTAGAAGTGGAATCATAGCAACTGGACTTTCCTTTTTTGGGTTGGAAACGGGTCCCGTTGCCATGACTCAACTTGCAGTCGTCTGTGATTTGAACTCCAGGCTTGGTAACTTTGTGGACACATCCATGTTGTTTCCTGGCCTCTGTACAGAGGCCTTCTGCTTGCTTCTGGGACGTCTGTTTGCCTTTCCAAGCTCTGGGATTTCATTTTTTTTTAATATCCCATCAATGTCTCAACTGTGTTGATGAAATTGGCTAGTTCTTAAGCGCTTTCCTTCCATGAACAAATGGAACAAGCTGACTGTAATGTTACATTTTGGAGGCAGGTGGTGGTGGTACAGAAACCGAAATTTTTCGTTCAGAAAGCTGACAGCATTACTTTACAAAAACCCTTGCTGAAGGTTTTAAAGGAGGGGGGGAAATACAGGAAGTCCTCGCCTTTTAAAGATTGGTTGCTTAGCAACTGCAACAGACCTATCCCTCCCCAAAAGGGACTTAGGGTCCAGCTTTGAAGTTCTGACATAGTCTTCCCCCCCCCCATGCAATCACATGACCACGCTGGGTGCTCTGCAGTTGGCTTGCATTTAACAAGGTTTGCAGCACCCCAGGTCACTTGACCATGATTTAAAATGGTTTGGCAGGAAATTGGCATTTACTTCACATTTCTGCCAAAAAACAGCCCCATAGCCCAACGATGGGCCTGCTTAACAACCACCACAAAAATGGTTGTAAATTGGGGTCAATTCAGTTATAGCTTGTAACTGGAAGACTGACTGTAATGGCCGCATTCTGTCTCCTAAACCAGATCTCCGATGAATCAGCACCCCTTTCCAGCTGTGAGCTCCAGTTACTCATCCTACACAGCATATCACATGCTGCACCTCTGGTTCCATCAGTTTTACACAAGGCAATACTACATGCAGTAGTAAGTTTCATGTTTACTCTTTATGTCTGAAGTTACACGCTAAGCCCATGAAATTCAATGCACGTTTTTTTTTTAAAAAAAAAAAAACACACCCTGATGATATGAAGCTGTCAATACAGGTGAACAGCATCAAGTGTTTTGAGAATAGGTGTCCGCGCTGGCTTTATAATAACCGAACCAAAGACTAACAGAAAAGATGACAGCCAGATAGAGACAATATACAAAAAAGAAAAATGATAATTAAAAAAAATCAGACTTGATAAATTGGCCCGTGTGGCAAAAAGTGGTGTGAAAGTCATTTGGACCGAGCATCTTTTAGCCACAATTGTGGTAATGCAGAATTTTGCAAGTTTCATACGGATTCCAGGAGGCCACTGTTTCTCAAGACCTGTGGACTTAAAATTCCCAGAATTCCCCAGCCAGCATTCCCACCCACCCCCGAAATTTTATAATTTAGGGTACATTTCTATTTCACCAACCGCTGTCCTTGTGCGGTCAAGCACTTCTAGCCACGCTGTTCTTTCAGCACGAGAAAAGTGTCTTGGTGTCCCATTTTCTCTCCAGCATGGCTGCCAACGCTCATTCGGGCGACTTCTCCTCCGCCAGACGTTCCCAGGAGATCTCGGTGGCTCCGGTGGCCCCCGCAGCTCCCCTTCCTGGTCCGTTCCCTGCCGAGAACCCCCCCGTGGATCAAAATGCCCCCCCTCAAGCCAACCCCGGAGTGAACCCCAACCTGCGCATGAATGCCCAGGGAGGGCCCCTCATGGAGGAAGACGAAGAAGTCAACCGCGATTGGCTGGACTGGCTCTACTCGGCCACCCTCTTCTACGTCTTCGTCAACATCGTTTACTTCTACTCCAGCATGAGCCGGTTCCTCTTGGTGATGGCCGGCACCCTCCTCATGTACCTGTGAGTCCGCTTGGGCTGGGCTGGGAAGCCGGTGTGTGTGTGTGTGTGTGTCTGTGTCTGTGTCTGTGTCTGTGTCTGGTTCCTGCATAGGGCTTGAATTCACCTCCAGGTAGTCCTCAACAACAATTCTTTTAGTGACCGTTCAAAGTTGCAACGGCACCGAAAAAGCGACTTACAAACATTTTTCACGCTTACAACCGTTGCAGCATTCCCTCCATAGTCATGTGATCAAAATTTGGACAATTGGCAACTGATTCGTGTTTATGACGGTTGCAGTGTCCCCTGGGGTCGCCTGACCCTCTGACAAAGTCAGTGGAGAAGCCAGACTCACTTAACAACCGTGTTTACTAACTCAACCACAGCAGTGTTTCGCTTAACAGGTGTGGCAAGAAAGGACGTAAAATGGGGCAATGTTTCACTTAGCAACAGAAATTTTGCGCTCAGTTCTGGATGTACATCGAGGATTACCTGTATTTATGACGATTGCAGTCTCCCAGGGTCATGGGATCACCTTTGGCAACTTTCCCCATTGATTTTGCTTAATAGTTGTGTTAATAACTAAACAACTGCAGTGATTCCCTTAACAATTGTAACAAGAAAGGTTATAGCAGGGGTGGGGAACCTGGGCTCTTTTATGACTGGTGGACTTCAACTCCCAGAACTCCTGAGCCAGCATGGCTCAGCTTGGAAGCCTCTCCCTTTCCCCTCAGCATAGCTGGCTCGGGAATTCTGGGAGTTGAAGTCCACCAGTCATAAAAGAGCCAAGGTTGCCTGCCTACCCCTGGGTTATAGAATGGGGCAAAACTCAACTGTCTCACTGGGGTTGATTGTGGTCATAAGTTAGGACTACCTGTATTCGGAGGAAATTTACTAAAATCAAGAATATTTGACTAGGCTGGATGTCTGGAAGCCTGCTGGAAAGGGCAGTGGCTGTCCACGTCTGCGTCAAATAATAGATCCCCCTGTAAAAGTTAGAAATTGATGGTGACTCGAGGCTTTTGCCTTTCTAACAGACGTCTTCCCTTCTTAGACACCAGGTTGGCTGGTTCCCTTTCAGACGAAGGCCAGTCCAGCCACCGCCGAACAACATTCCTGTCCAAGCCGCTGTTAATCAAGATCAGAACAACAATTTACAACAAGTAGGTTTCATGCCTAAAGGAAAGTATCATAAAACTTTGCTTTTGAGAATTAACCTAGAGCAGGGGTGGGCAACTTTGGCTCTTTTATGGCTCGTGGACTTCAACTTCCAGAATTCCTGAGCCAGCATGGCTCAGCTTGGAAACCTCTCCCTTTTCCCCTCAGCATGGCTGCAGTTTTTGCAACTTTCTGACAAGCAGAGTCAATTCGCTTAACCGTTTCAGAGTCAATTCACTTAACCGTTTTTAACTGCAGCGATTCATTTAACAACTGTGGCAAGAACAGTCGTAAAACGGGGCAAAACTCACTTAACAAATTTTGAGCTTAGCTTTGTTTGTAAGGCAGAGTTCCCCAACCTTGGGGGGGGGGAAAGAAGGGATGGTTTTGTAGGGGGTGAACAAATGGGTGCGTGGGTGTGCACTCATGAACTCCTGTTGCTTGCGCGAGTGGGGGCACGAACGCTGGTAACGCTCGTGCAAATGGGGCTGCACACACACAGGCACACATCAGCCAGCCACTCAGGCGGCCCGATGACCAATAGCCCGCAGCCCAGTAGTGGGTCAGGGCCCACAGGTTGGGGACCCCTGTTGTAAGGCACAGCCTACGTTCAGGATGTCAACATAGGATGCTTGCAGGAATTTTGCCTAAAGTCAACCAAAAGAAAAAAAAATGTTCAACTTCAGCCTCGTTAAACCATGCCAACTGTTGGAGACTCCTAGGGGAAAGTATCCGTGTAATTAAACTTTGTTTCCCCCCCCCCCATCTCAGCAGGAGGAGAACCCAAGAGAACAAAATGAAACGGAGAATTCGGAGGCCCCAGGCGAGATCCAGCCGGCCCCAGCCATTTCCTTCATGAGCACAGCTTGGCTTTTCTTTAAGACTTTCTTTGCCTCTCTTCTGCCAGAGGGGCCTCCAGCTGTGGCAAACTAACTGGGCACATAACTTCCTCTTTCTTGACTACCGAGGCCGGTCCGGACACGAGCTGGCATGCCCAAACGTGGCCACGGATGGTTGGGTGAAAGAGGGCGAATGTAGACTTTGACGCTAAAGACAGATGTGGCTGAAGGTGCAACGAGGTGATGCTAGCTCAGAGCTTCACGGACACAAACAATAGATCACTGAAGCCATGGCTTGAGGGCGGTGTGACGTTTTGTACCTCGGCTGTCTTGGGGGCCAAGTGCAAGAGAGGCAGACTCCTTCTGCCAGGATCATTCGATTCCATTTAGAGTGGATCTCATGCTTGCGTGCACGGAGTGTGCAATCTTGCGCAACCAGCCATATTAGAAAAACCGTGCAGGGGAAGTTAATGCCAAAAATGAAGAAAAAGCTGGGCTTAATTGCTGACAACACGTGTAAAAGATAAGGTGTAAATAGCTTGCCACAGAAGGTAACAGTCAAGCCTATTAATACTACACAATGGGCGAGGAACTATACGGCCCCTTTACGACGTGCGGACTTCAACTCCTAGAATTGGCTCTGGAATTCTGGGAGTTGAAGTTGGCAGGTGGTAAAGGGTCCATAATTGCCCACCCCTGCTACACAGTGTAGCCAAAAGTATTTTCCTAGGCTTCAAGCACGAGCGGGTTTCCTATTTTGCCAATTTAGTAAGTCGAGAGAAGGTCTGGAGGCGTGTCTTCTGATAGATCAAGTTGCAAATATGACTTCTTTCAAGCCGCTTTCTATTTTGCCAGCAGTCTAGTTAATCTGTAAGTTCTTCTTGTCCTTACATTTCAAACTTTAAAAAAAAGAGAATGAGATTTGTGTAAAAGAAGATGGTGAACAATCCTTCCCTCCCTCCGTGCAGATTCTCAGGCTGATTCCCTGCCTATTAGCTATACATAATTGTGAATTAATAGTGCTTTCTGGGATACAAATTTTAAAAAATGGATCCAATTTTGGTCTGAATCTGAAGTTGGGTGAAGCATAACTCCGTGAACTGGAGGCGCTTACACTTGGAAAAGAAGGGATATTTTGTCGGTAACCTTTTCCCCTGAGTTTGGATAGTCCAAATCCCAAGATGGGTCGAGGGGGGGGGTAAGAGGATCCCCCAAAATTACTGCAGCTGTTCATTTTACACGTAGAAGTTTTTGAACCCAGGCTGTGATATTTCTAGCATCTTATAATCAAAAGGTGGTGTGGATGTTGGAAGCTGCAGTATAACATCAGAAAGAATGGGAGTTGCCACTACACAATCGCTGAGACTGATGCAAATTAAGTATGGTTGTGATGGCCACATCTCACCTGTAGATGCCCAGAGTGTCTCTGGAGGGGAAAAATATCCTTTAACACCTGCATTTAACTTGGACATTTTAGTACAAGCAAAAGAAAATTACTTCTTTTGGGTTCTGATTAATTGGTCTGCTTATAACGCTCAAGATTATTTTTTTCCCCCCACTTAAGCCTCTTTGCCTGGAATTGCTAGAATTGCATTTTTCCAAAGTCATTCTTTTCCACTCAGGGATTATTTTGCATATACAAACATTTTCCCATCTCTGTGTTTGGATTTCAGGATGATGCTGAAAAGGTGTGTTTTCTCTATTGTGGATTATAACCTGGATGCTTTCTGTTTCTATCTACTCAAATTTCACAAGGACAGTCACATGATGGCTGAACTTTTTTTCTTGTACATTATTAAACAAAGGTTTAATATATTGCAGCTTAATTTTATTAAACTGAGATTGTTTGCAAGTGTTTGGGAATTATTGCATTGATAAGACTCAGACTTCAAACAAAAAGGGAAGCTGGCATGTCAGCAGCTCCTCTAATCCTCTAATCTTACATAACTTCATAGAAAATAAAACTGTCCATGGTGATATTTGGAACAAAGATAAAAGTGGGGGGAAATATACACAATAGCCACCAGTTTTGTAAATTGAAAAGACTCCAGGAATCATTTTGAGGGATATACAATATATTCTCAAAATCATAAATGTCTATTGTCTTTTAAACCTAGGGGTCTTCCGCTCTGAAAAATAAAATACTGGAGTTGCATAAATAATTGTATGATCTGGATCTGGATCTTTCTAGTGGGTTTTGTCTTTGCCAATTTACTGGCATCCTTTTTCAACTTAGTTACAAATATACGATCTGTATGCAGGTAATTCTTGACTTATGACCATAATTGAGCTTGGAATTACAGGTGTAAGTCAGGCCTGTCATTAAGCAGGTCACCACATAACCGCTCAATTTTGTAGCCACTTTTGTAGTCAATTGCAGTGAATTCATTGTCTGCAAAGATCATCCCCCCCCCCCCCCCGCCCCAGGACAGAACAACAGTCTTAAATGTCTGTTGCCAACTAATTGGTTGTGAGTTGAGGACTACCTGTGGTGATTATGTTAGATTTAAAAATGCAGAGCTAAAATCATAATTGCAAGCTTTTACCGCTAACAAAACGAAACTTTTGTCAGTTTTTCTTTGTTCCTTCTGAGCAGAAGACGGAAATTGTAGATTTTGTAGTTGCCGTTAATCTTCCACTTTACATCATCTTTGGTCTAATGTAAATCCCGACAAGATTTTCTGCAACTTTAGTAGAAACTGGAAGTCTGCTGCATTGTAACAAATAGGAGTGCCAATGAAGGAAAATATAAGTGTCCTAGTGGCGTATACAAAATAGGTAAAGGAGCCCCTGCGGATTTTACTCGGCTAGTCATTGCCGACTGTAGGGAGCGATGCTCATCTTTGTTTCAAGGCCAGTGGGCCAGCGCTATCCAAAATCAGTTCTGTGGCAAGCATGGCATCACGGAGCATTGTTACCTTCCCACCGAAGTGGCACCTATTTATCTACTCACATTTGCCTGCTTTCGAACTGCTAGATTGGCAGGAGCTGAGCAAGTAACAGGAGCTCACCCCATCCCATGGCGCTAAGGTCTCAAACCTGGGCTGCTGCTTTCCAGCAGACAAACCCAGCGTCTTAACTGCCAAGCACCGCACTACCCTCAAGTGGCATACAGAAGGACCAAAACAGTAATTTTCCAGCTTGGGAGGGTGTGATAATGATTGAAGCTGGCATGGAAGTGGCAAATTCATGCCAAAAAAGATGTTTTGTAAACAAGACATTGGCTGAAACCAAGCATAGGAAGTATGTAGTATGGAACGCAAAAGGCAGGAAGTCCTCAACGATGCTGTAATTTGAAATTAACCCATAAAGAGCTGGACCTTGAGTGGAGAACCTCTCGTGAGCATGGCTTCCAAATTCTGTTCAATAAATCCACAAAGCTAATATTGAATCTGCTTGGAGAACACAAGAACGACCACCTGTTTTAAGAAGAGCAAAACAATCTGGGTTAACCCGTTTTTACGAGAGGTTGGGTCAAAGAGACACCCTGGACTGCCACATCAAAGCTGGATGGAGAGGCTGCCAATTTTCACCCAAGCCTCTATAGGAGTTGGGTCAAACACACCAACTTGCCATCAATAACATCATACCTGAGACCAGTTGGAATAATAATACCCAGACAAAGTGTTGACTAGCTTGCATTAAGCCCAGCTTGCTTACTGAACAATAGATTGGGATCAATATTGTCCTGCATAAATCAGCCAACTTCCTGTGCCCAAAATCTTTACCACAGAATTAATAAGGTTGGAAGGGACTGATTTTTCTTTAAAACTAATTAATTTTCAGGAATTATTGTGGATCAGAATAACCAAAATAGTTGGAAGGGACCTTGGAGGTCTTCAGACCCAGCCCCCTGCTCAAGCAGGAGACCCTACACCAGGGATCTGCAACTTGACAACTGTAAGACTGGTTGACTTCAGCTCCCGGAATTCCTCAGCCAGCAGCTGGCTGAGGAATTCTGGAAGCTGAAGTCCACCAGTCTTAAAGTTGTCAAGGTTGCAGACCCCTGCCCTACACCATTCCAGACAACTGGTTATCCAATTTAGAATTCCTAACTAGCGCTTTGACAACTGGTATGTCCTAAATCATCACTAACATTTTTCTTTCCTTCTTCCTCTTTTTCTCCTCTGCAGAATGATGAAGGAGAAGCAGCTGTTCTAAACACATTCAGTCAGCTTGACCTGAATACCAAATACTTCTCCACTGACCAGCCACAAGGTGGCAGATCCAGGCGTTAAAACAATATATTTTGCCTGTCTTCTCCCAGGACACAGTAGTAATTTGTTCCCATCTGTGGTTCAGCTTCTGCTTCTGAAAAGCCACAGTTCTTACAGGAGGTTGAAAATGTTTAGCAGTATATAAGTCTAAGTCAGTTGTGGCGAACCTATGGCACAGGTGCCAGAGGTGGCACTCAGAGCCCTCTCTGTGGGCACACACGCCATTGCCACAATCCTAGGCCTTCAGCTGGGTTTTATAAAACCTTTTCGCTTTAGGCCTCTGCCGCTGTGTGCAAAAAAAAAAAAAGGTTCAATCAATCAGTCAATTTCATTTCGTGGGAAAAAAAAAGATCTTGCAAAGCTGGAATTGATTGATTGAACTTTTTAGTCCCACCCAGTCTGCTGTTACCACTGCAGCCACGCCCACCCAATGGGCCACACCTACCTGGCACCCGACGATGCATAAGTGGGGTTTGGGTTGCAGTTTGGGCACTCAGTCTCTAAAAGATTCGCCATCACTGGTCTAAGTGCTATTGCTCTATGGTGCCTATGTTTGTCCCCAATCCAAGATTTAACCAGTTCGATGCCTTCTCTGCTTGCTTTGGAATAAAAATAGCTTTTACCCCATTCAACCAACTAAACTTCAACCCTTGTAAGGTCTATAAAGCTTTGCCATCCTTTTATCTTGGAGACCAGGTCAGGTGGCCTTTTGCAGAGGTGGCTAATGAGTTAGGAGTGGCTGAGAGACGTGGGCAGCTCCTCACATACACAGACACGTCTCTAACCACTAGGCAGCCTCTACCCCAGCTGTTCCTCCTTCCCAAGTTTGGCTCTTCCTTAGCACCATTCTTCTCACACCCCATTAGCACCACCTCCCTTTATCGAAATCAACATCTCTCCAGCTTTCAACCACAAGAGGTTATTTGTCCAATTTCTTATTTGTGCAACTCCGAAATGGCGCCCGTGGGAAACATTTCAATTTAGATGAAGCACCCTCTTCTTTCTGTCAGTCTCATGACAGGAGATCTGCAAATGATTTCAAACTGGGCTGCCTGCAAGTTCCTCTAGATTTGTCATTTTTAGTCAAGGGGAGACCCTGGGAGGTTGGGATCCGTGGCAAGCTCTGGGCCTCCCCGTCTGGCCTTCTTCCTAGTATCTTCCAGCTTGCCTCTGGTCGGGCTGTCTGAACCACCATTTCTGTTCAATCATTGTAAACGGGTTTCAAGATGCTGATTGTGTCTAGTCTAACAGAACAGAAGGACTATGGGTGATGTGATAGCAGTCACCCAATATTTGAGGAGCTGTCAAAGGGAAGAGGGAATAGATCTAATCTCCAGAGTGCCTCCATCTATCATCTAGCTGTGTCTCATCATCTCTCTCTTTTTCTATCATGCCTATCTTCTATCCATCCGTCTTGTCTGTCTGTCTATTGTCTATCTATGATCATATTCTATATCATCTATTGTCTATCTGACTAACTACCATCTGTCCATCATCTCTCTCTCTTTTTCTATCATGTCTATCTTCTATCCATCCATCCATCCGTCTGTCTATCATCTATTGTCTATCTACGATCATATTGTATATCATCTATTGTCTGTCTGTCTACCTACCATCTGTCCATCTCTCTCTCTCACACACACACACACTATCATGTCTCTCTACTATTTACTACCGTCTATCTATCCTTTCTCTCTCCCCCTTTCTCTGTCATCTTCATCTATTTGCCTCTATGTATCCATCATCTCTATCACTCTCTCCTCCCCAGATTCAAGCTGATCTGAGCGACTGCACCTCCCTCGCAGCGCGGTCCTGCCCGCTACGCCCCGGCGGGCTGACTCGGAGGAAAGCACATGGTTTCCCCGAAGAGCCCTGCCGCTTTCCTACTCCGGGCGCCAATGCCAAGCGTAGGTTTCACTTTCGCACCGGGGCTCCGCCGGCTGGCCATTTTCCTCAGAGCGCCTCGCGCCTCGCGCCTCGCGGCGGCCGGAGCCGAGCCGAGCCGGGCTGCAGCCGCGCCGAAGGTAGCTCGGGGGAGGGGGGAAAGGCCCGCGGGGTCCCCCTTCTCGCGCGTGGGTTGCCCGGCGGCGCTTTTGCGCTCTGGGCTGGCAGGACGCGCTGCCCCGGGAGGATTGGGCAGCCGGCAGAGGGCGCTCTTGCCGGATTCTCGGCTTCGCGCGCCTCCTGCGCTCTATCCTAGCCGGCAGAGAGTTCTCAAGAGGAATCCCGCGTCTGCCTGCCTGCCGTGTCTGAGGGGTTTGGGGATGGGGGTGAAATAACAAGCTTATTTCAGCATCCGCCCAAGGTGTTACCTCTGCAAAGGGAATTGTTAGCGAGCACCTGTGAGCGAAGCTGCCTTCAATCAGTGTAATTTGGAATATCCAGCGTTTCTTTTCAGGGCTTCTGCTTTTTTTGACTGCTTTCCTGCAGATCAAAAGTTGGGGTCGGGTGGGGCAGGCAAGAAAATGGAAATGGCCACAATTTGTGGGGTCAAAACTGTGCCTTCTTTGGCATGCAACAACAACAACGCAAGGCTTTAATCCTGCAGTCGTGGATGCCATTTTGATCTTTTGACCTCTCCCCACGGATGCCCCAGCTTGCTTACTACTTGGGCCGATTTACTTGTGGGCCTAGATCCAGGTAGGAGGGCGGTATGGGTCAGCAAGCTATGCAGAATTGCCTGAGAGGAATCGATTTGCAAGGGAAAAGATGGCGGGAAGGAGAAAAAACGAAAGTATTACAGAAAGTATAGCCAGGTGTCTGGCAAAAGGAGAACTAGTCCTCCCGTTGGGCAGGCATAGCCTTAAAAACAAATATTGTTCTGGTTTTTGAGTAGTTTGGGGTTATTTTTAATTCTATTTTGGACTGTTTTCACAACTGGAGTCGGTCAAACCCTTGTGTATTGTGTGACTTTGTAAATTGTCTGTTTCTTTCTTTCCTGCATTTGTCGACATACCTGAGAGCCTAGAATTACCTTATTTAATTTATTTCCTGACTCTATCCATCAGTTTTAATCCAGCCCCTTCAAAGCTACATTCACGGGTCTGGAGATGATTTATGATAATTTCTCCGGCGAAATTTGAAAAGTGTGTGGTTGTTGATTCTATACTATTACTAGCACATGACCTTCTTAGAAAAAACAAAGCAACTGAAAAATCCAGTCTTTCTGGTGCTGGAAAAAGTAGGGTAATTTTTATACGTGTAGGCCTAAATACTTGCTTTTTGCTCTAATTTTTGTGGCAGATGTCAAGAAAGTTAAATAGTTTAACTTTTTCCACGTGCGTCCTTCTTTTAAATTGTTCATGTCTCCCTGGCGTGCATGAATTACTGAGCAAAGTTTGCGAAACCCAGAGGTTGGTTTCTATCTATCTTTCTTTTTTTCTAGTAATTTTATAATTGATCTTGCGCTAGGAAATAGAAACCGGTTATCGTGTGGAAAATACCTAAATTTACAAAGCTTGATGGCCCCATCTAGTTGCACATTTCTAGAAAGTGAAGTTCAATTTTAGGTTTCCGTTTGATTTTGGCGTTCCAACTCAGGTCCTTGTGGACTTGAACTTGGGGAATTCCAGTCCCGCTGCTTTCGTTCTTAGACCTTTGTTCTCAAAGAGTCACAACAATTAAAAAAAAAGGGATCCAGAATACAGTTAGTATCACCTAATGTCTTCCAAACATTTTGGCTTTTTGAAACCTATGTATCTGCGTGCAATGCAAATTCATATTGTGCGGCTGTGATTAACTCATAGAATAATAGGACTGGAAGGGACCTTGGAGGTCTTCTAGTCTAACCCTCTGCCCAAGGCAGGAGTCCTTATACCAGGGGTTCCCAACTACCAGGCTGCAGCCTGTTCAGAAGTGTGGGGGGAGTGCATGTGCATTTCTATTTGTGCAAGCGGCGGTGTGTGTTCCCACCACTCGCACAAATGGAGCTGCACCCCGTGTGTGCACATTGACCCACCATTTGCGTGGAACCATTCCCTCTCCCCCCCCCCCCCGCCTTGCTGGTCCACAAAGCCAGAAAGATTGGAGACCCCTGCCTTATACCATCCTGGACAAATGGCTGTCCAATCTCTTCTTGAAAATCTCCAGTGGTGAAACACCCACAACCCTGGGAGTCAAGCTATTCCACTGATTAATTGTTCTCCCTGTCAGGAAATTTTTCCTTAGTTGTAGGTCAGGGGTCCCCAGATCCACATCCACATTCTTGCTTTAATTTAGCACTAGCAGCAGCACTTAGACTTACACTTATATACCACTTCACAGTGCTTTACAGCCCTCTCTAAACGGTTTAGAGTCATCATAATTGCCCCCAACAATCTGGGTCCTCATTTTACCGACCTCGGAAGGATGGAAAGTTGAGTCAACCTTGAGCTGGCAGCCAGCAATCAGCAGGATTAACCTGCAATACTGCATTCTAACCACTGAGCCACCATGGCTCTTTAACCCAAGAAAAAGATATAAAGCTAAAATTATAAAGATATGCATATCAAATAATCAAATAATGGCAGCAGCAATATATAATATAATCTCTTATTCTGAATAAAATGTATAGCCCCGCAACGTATCATATTATCAATTCCCAAAGCGCACGTAACAGGAACAGGCATTTTTGTAATAAAAGAAATAATTAAAAAATATCCTTTATTTTAAAATTAGAAAAATATATAAAGATGTCATGTAAAAAAGTATATCTGTTGAACTCCAATGGCGCACAGCGTTTGTAACATCAAAACATTCTTGACCACAACTGAAGCTAAATGCCACATTACGTGTTCCAGTAACAAACCCAGTTGCAAAATTACTCAGCCACAAACCCACATCCTGCCACTTCTTACTTATGAAGCATTTGTAGTAAGCGCCCTCAAGCCCTTTGCTAACAGATGTCAAAGCAAGTGGTATCAAAGCAGGTTTGTGCAAAAGCACAAACAGTAATTAAGTTGGGGTGAACTGATGATGTTACCTAGTCTGATAATGAAATGTCTACAGAAAAACCATCAAGCTCAGAGAGCATCCGCGACCCCTCATTTCAACCCTGACCTAGTAGTTTTGTTGAAGGTAATTCAAGAAATTTGTTTTTCTCTCTGATTTTTTATCTTACATGCTGTAAATCAGTGATGGCGAACCTTTTAGAGACCGAGTGCCCAAAATGCAACCCAAAACCCACTTATTTATTGCAAAGTGCCAGGGCTGCATCAGCATTGTGGTGCTCTCAGGGAGAGCATGTGTGTGTGTGTGTGTCTGTGTGTGGCCACTGGGTGGGAATAGATGTGGTCACAGCTGTGGTGGTCACATCAGACTGGATGGGCATGGCTGGGGTGGGTGGGCTAGATCCAGGCTGGTGGGGACCAGCCCCTCGCCATCTCTGGGGCATCCCCAGGAGGCCAATGCCGCTTGCTCGCTCACTTCCTGCCCCATCGCTTCCAAATGCCACATGCTCGCTATTCTGGTGAACTCTGCTGGGGCAACGGTGTGCGTGCCCACAGAGAGGGCTCTGAGTGCCGCCTCTGGCAGACGTGCCATAGGTTTGCCACCAATGCTGTAAGTGTTGAGTTCCTCTTTGCTGTCAATCAGCCTCCTGGTTTAATAGCAATACACTAGTACTTAGACTCATATACCGCTACATCGTCCTTTTACAGCCCTCTTTAAGCAGTTTTTAGAGTCAGCATAATTGTCCCCAACAATCTGGGTCCTCAACATGTCTTTCCTCTCCTAGGAATTTGACTGCCTTCACTGCACTGCACTGCAGTTTGAAAGGACCAAGTTGCTGGAATGCTGGGATTTAAAAAGTCCTTTATTTGATTCTGCAGGAGACGGCCTCCAACAAGATGATCTTCTGGAAGTGATCTAGGGGGCCTGGGAAGCCCCCCAAAACGTACGGAAAATATGAAGCCTTCCCCTTGACACGTCTGGAGAGTTGCAGAGGCAACACAGCTGAAGACAGAGGAATTTGCAGGATGATGGTGGTAGGAAGGGGCAGCTGGCTGGGACAGTCTGTAAAAAGTGCCAGCTGGATGAGATGCAATTTCATCCTTGACTTACAACCATTCGTTTAGTGACTCTTCGGAGTTCCTGGCACTAAAAAAAGTGACAACAGGGAGTCCTCAATTTAGAACCCTGATTGGGTCAAGACTTTTTGGGGTGGTTGTTAAGTAAGCCGTGCCCAATTTTGCAACCTTTTTGCGATGGTTGTTAAGCGAATCACTGCAGTTGTTAAGTGAATCGTGCAACCATTCGTGTAAATCTATCTTCCCTCGTTGACTTTGCTCATCGGAAGCCAGCTGGTAAGGTAGCAAATGGCGATCATGTGACCCTGGGACACTGCAACCGTCATAAATAAAGGCTGGGTTGTTAAACAGGTTGTGCCTGCTGCTCTTGGTGCCTTAAGCTGGCCTTATTTTGCTTAGTGCAGTTTCCCAACCTGGCCAGCTTAAGACATATGGCTTGTTGGAAGCCAAGTTGGAAAGTCGGGAAAGCCTGGCTTAAAGATTAAGCCAGACCTGCCTTGTCAGCACTAAAGTGAAGATTTGGGGCCTTTCTTTAGTCTTCTCCAACTTCTGTGTCTTCCAGATGGATGGTGCAAAACGCCGAAGCATCATCAGAAGAGTTTGGCCACAGCTAGTAGACTTCCTGAGCCACCATTCAGAGTGGTTGCTGAAGAAAGCTGAGATGCTTCTGTCTCAAGACGACCTGAGTTTTGTCGGCAGGGTGCCAGACCTTGAGAGGAAACGTTTACTGATCCTGGATATGGTCCTAAGAGATGTGGACGCCAATCCCGAGGTCTTCAGAAAGTTCATCCAGAGCGTCTGTTTCGAATGCAGCCTTCCCATGGAGCTCGAGATCATACTGATGAGCGTCTCTCAAGAAGGTGAAGGGTGGTTGAACCACGCCAAGTCCTGTAGCTCTGGGGATAGATACAGGTGGTCCTCGACTTACGACGACAATGGCATCCAACGTTTCCTTGCTAAGCAAGGACAGCTCTTAAGCGAATTTTACCCCATTTCACGTCCTTTCTTGCCACAGTTGTTAAGTGAATCACTGCAGTGGTTAAGTTAGTGACATGGTTGTTAAGTCAACCGGGCTTCCCCATTAACTTCGTTGGAAGCAATCTGGGAAGGACACCAGTGGCAATCCCATGACCCCAGGATGCTGTTGCCAGATACCTGAATCTGGATCAGGTGACCACGGGGATGCTGTAATGGTTGTAAGTGGGAGGAGCAGAACTTTGAATGATCACTAAATGACCAATTATAAGTTGAGGACTACTGTGTTTCCCTGCAAATAAGACCTATCCTGAAAATGAGCCCTTGCTTGATTTTTATGCATATGCCTAATAAAGTACATGCTTAGTTTGGGATGGCTGCAGTGTTATCTTCATTTTAGATGTCAAAAGGGTCTCTCTCTCTCTCTCCCTCTCTCTCTCCCTGATCTGCTCATCTGGCAAGTTGGCTTCAAGCTGTTCTCCAACAAGCTCAGGGGTAGGCAACCTCGGCTCTTTTATAACTCATGGACTTCAAGTCCCAGAATTCCTGAGTCAGCAGAGTTGGGCTAGCTAGCTCTCTCCTGCCCTTCCTGCTTCCTGCAGAGATGCAGCCAAGGCAGGAGCCCTGCCCAGTAAGCTTGTCGGCTCGTCTAACAGGAGGGAGAGAGAGAGAGAGAGAGAGAGAGAGAGAGAGAGAGAGAGAGAGAGAGAGAAGGGAAATGCAAGTGCCTCTCTCTGTCTCTGTCTCTCTCTGCAAATGGCAGAGAAGGCTGGGAGCCGCAGGGGAAGGCTCAAAGAGCCACATCCGGCTCTGGAGCTGCAGGTTGCCAACCTATGCCCCAGAGCCTTTCAAGAACATCCCTTATCTTTTGAGTATTGTTTTATCTGGCTGTATGAGCACGTTTTGTTTTTTGAAAACAAAGGGGGTCTCTGATGCAAGATGCCCCGGTTAACCTCTTTTTTCTCGATGATTCTAGGCGGTGTATCTGAAGGACAAGATGACCAGAAAGGTTGCTTCCCATCAAGTTCGAGAAGTAAGGTCATTTATTATTCTTTTTCCCCCCTCTCTTTTCAGTTTTATAAATAACAGTACAGTGTTGTTCAGAGTTAACGGTGAAGCTTCACGATCAAAGCCTTTCTTGTATTATAAATCGATGCATTCTGCAATTCTTTATCGATGACATACTTGGCACTAATTGTGGAATTTAAGCAACCTTATATTCATTAATGTTACGACCACAAAATTTCTGTTGCTAAGAGAGACACTTGTTAAGTGAAATTTCCCTCCTTTTACGACTTTTCTTGCCATATATATTAAGTGAATCGCTGCACTTGTTAAGTTAGTAATGCAGTTGTTACGTCAATTGCTGCGGTTGTTAACTTAGTAACCTGGTTGTTAAGTGAATCTGGCTTCTCCATTGGCTTAGCTTCTCAGAAGGTTGCAAAAGGGGATCCCATGATCTGTCCCATAACCTGTAACCGTCATAAAACGTATGCCATTTGGCATGTGTCCAAATTTTCATCACGTGACCATGGGGATACTGCAACGGTTGTAAGTGTGCAAACGGTCATAAGTCCCTTTTCTCAGCGCTGTTGTAATGTTGAATGGTCGCTAAATGAATTGTTGCAAGTCAAGGACTCCCTGTGTTGCCAGTGGAGGCCAAAAAATCGAGATAGTGGCCATTACCACATGATCAACGTCCAGCTTTTTTACTTGATCAGAAGACCTTTATTCCCCTGGGTCAGGGGTAGGCCACCTTGGCTCTTTTATGACTCGTGGACTTCAACTCCCAGAATTCCCGAGCCAGCCACGCTGAGGGCAAAGGGAGAGGTTGCCAAGCTGAGCCAGGCTGGCTCAGGAATTCTGGGAATTGAAGGCCACGAGTCATAAAAGAGCCAAGGTGGCCTACTCCTGCCCTAGGTCAATGCCTCTGATGTATTGATACGCAAAATTGCCCTATGAAGGAGTGTTAGAATGGAATAGAGCTGGAAGGTTCCGTGGAAGTCTTCTAGTCCAGCCCCCCACTCAAGCAGGAAAACCTATACCATCTCAGACAAGTGACTGTCCAGCCTCTTCTTAAAAACCTCCAGGGATGGAACGCCTATGATTTCTGGTGGCCAACTGTTCCACTGGTTAATTGTCCTCACTGTTAGGAAGTTTCTCCTTAATTCCACGTTGCTTCTCTCCTTGATTAGTTTCCATCCGTTGTTTTTCGTCCTGCCCTCTGGTGCTCTGGTGAATAACGTGACCCCCTCTTCTTTGTGGCAACCCCTCAAATACCGGAATACTGCTGTCATATCACCCCTATTTCTTCTTTTCTTTTGGTTCCTCTCTCCCTCCCCCTTTTTCCCACCTCCCATTTTGCAGAGCTTGAAAGACGCCGTCCATTCAGCAATTTCTCCAGCAACAACGGGAAAGAATCCAAGCAGAAACGACTTGGTAGGTCCCCCCCTCTCATTCCTTCTTTCTTTTTATAAGTCCAACACCTGGGAGTGACCAGTTGAGGAAGAAAAAGAGGCTCCTTTTGAACATCTGCATCTCTACCGTTTGGGAATCCAGAGGTTAGGGAGCCTCTGCGCCCTTTCTTAATGCAAATACGTTCTTTCAATGAGTCCATTAGTTGTCACTTTCTAGTTTTGGAATAATTTGAAATACGCTTCTTTAAAAAACTCTGACTCAGACTGGTAGTTGAAGTCCACAAGTCATAAAAGGGCCAAGTTTGAAGGTACAGTATAGTAGGATGTGAGCTGTAGTTTCAATAGCCCTTTTGTTTACAAGGGCAATCTCTGCTCGTATGGATTCGTTTTTATATCAGCCCTCCGAGATTGTTGCGGAAAGTGCATTGCAGAATACTGAAGTTAATGTCTGGGGACAATTATTGCCTTTTACCTGTATAAATATTGCCATCAGATTCTATCTGATATGTCTTTCCCAGATGCTGCTGAAAGGTACTGTCAACACATCCTCAGCTTGATGTTTAGAAAGTTTGGAATTGACCGCTCTGCAGAGACAGCAGAAACAAAAGATGAGCCATTGGCTTTCAGCCAAAAGTTTGTCAACCTCGTCATCCATCACAGCAGAGCATCCAAGTTGAAGGTGGGAAGCAAGAAGATCAAAGAGGAACCAGTGTCCCCACACGAATTCAAGGACCATGGCAATCCGATGGAGAACTTGTCCGAGCTCTTCAAAAGTGTCCAGATGGGCATCACCCAGGTTGTTCTGCTTTTGGGCAAGGCTGGAATGGGAAAAACATGCTTTGTTCATCAAATCTGTCAGCAGTGGGCTGAGGGAGCCCTTCCCCAGTTCAAATTGATCTTCTTCTTTGAGTTCAAGCAGCTGAACCTCATCGCCAAGAGAAAACTAACTCTCCAAGAACTCTTGTTTGAATATTTCCTCCAACCAGATCAGCCTGACACCGTGTTTCAATTCCTCCTGGAGAATGCCCAACAGACCTTGGTTATCTTGGATGGTCTGGATGAGTTCGTGGAGAACCTTCCCCTCCCACCCATCCCTTTCACTTCCTCCTCTGATCTTCTCATGCCTTGTTCTGTCTCTGAACTCGTGGCTAATCTTTGCCACGGAGAACTCTTGGCGGGTTGCACAGTGCTGATTACCAGCAGGCTAAACCTACTCCCTGCAGAATTAGTCAAGGGTACCGTTGCGCTAGCAGAAGTCTGGGGATTCCACCGGGACAACGTTGAGGAATACGTCAGCTATTTTTTCCAAGAGCCTTTCCAGAAAGAGCAAGCCCTTACTCTTCTGAACGACAATGGCAAACTCTTGAGCATGTGTTACATTCCTGCGATGTGTCACATTATCTGCACTTGCCTGAAACATTTGTTCCTTGAAGATGCAGAGAATGTCCAGCTTCCTCAAACCAGGACCCAGTTTTACACCACGATGCTCCAGATCTTCATCTGCAAACATCAGGGCGGGAGGACTTTGAATGAAATAGACATGGGTCAATATCAAACAACCCTGACAGATCTGTGTGAGTTGGCCTTCAGGGGCCTTGAGGAGAACAAAAGAGTCTTTGATGCTGGAGAGGTCCCAGAACACGTGAAAGATTTTTTTTGTCACTTTGGCCTTCTTTTGGCCTCTGAGGTTAAAATGGGCAAGGACCCTGTACAAATGGCTTATACTTTTACTCATTTTAGCTTTCAAGAATTCTTTGCAGCTCTCTTCCTGTTGGCAAGCCCCACAGTAGATTGCAAGATATTGAAGGAAAACTTCTCCCTGAGATCAAAGTGGATTCTGAAGAAAGAAACAAGGATGTCCTTTACAGAGAACTACCATATCTTCTTGTCTGGCCTTTCATCTCAAGGGTGTAGACCATTCCTTTGTTGCTTAGCTGGGCGGAACGAGGTCTGGATTCAGGAACGGCAAAATATCATCACGGAGATATTGCAGAAACTCGCGGTTGCTAATTTGACAGGACCCAGGATAGTAGAGTTGTGCCACTGTGTGTACGAGACACAAGACATCAGCCTAGCACAGCACATTGCAAAAGAGTTAGCTTTCAAATACCAATTCAGGAACGTGGGGCTGATGCCCTTCGACATGGTGACTTTAGCCTTCCTCATCAATGGAAGTCCTCATGGTGTGTGCTTGGATTTTGTTGGCTGCCCCCTGGAATTGGACTATTTGGACATCTGGGGCAGTTGTGAAAATATAAAGAGCTTGAGGTGAGAGACAAAGGCCAACTTAACCATTAAACTCAGAAGATAATGGTCCTTGTACAATACATTTGCTGTGTGCATAAAATAGAATTGTGGCAATCTTTTCATTTGCAAGTGTCATTAGGTAAATATCATGCAACAGGTCTTCCTAAACCCAAAAGAATTGAAGACCACTTCTTATCTTGCAAGATTCCCACCATGAAGACCACCAAGGTCCCCTTCCAGCCCTATAATTCTATGATTCTGTGAATAAGACTGGTGGCTTCTTAATCACATCTGCCTTCCGCTTTTTTTGTTTGTAGCTTCAAGAACAGGCAATATGGAAGTGAGTTTGCAGGAGCCCTTTCCAAAACCATGCCTAAGATCAAACACCTGACAACATTTAAGTAAGCATCTCTCTAAGGTCACATTATACCATGCTGTAATACCATACTGCATATTAAGTCGTGGCTTGTTTTAATCGTTTTTGGAATTAGCCACAGGACTTTATTGCATATATGTCACATATTATAACTGTGTCTTTTCTCTGCTGAGAACTAGGAGAAGAAGAAAATTCAGAAGCTGAAATTGATATTGTGCCTAATTCTCAGACTCGGCTTCCATAGATTATAAGAAGTACTGACTAAAAATTGACCTTATTTCACACAAAGCACAAGTATACAGCTATATAGTCCCACTTACGACTGTCAGAGCACCTCTTCAGTTATATGATCAAAATTCAAAATGAAGAGATGCTGTGACAGTTGTAAGTGGGAAGACCACTTGTCACTTTTTTCAGTGCTGTTGAAACTTTGAATGATCTTTAAAAAAATGGTCACAAGTCAAGGCTACCTGTATACCTGTGCTTTGTGTGAAATAAGGTCAATATTTAGTCATTCTTATAATCCAAGGAAGCCGAATCTGAGAATTAAGCACAATATCAGCTTCAGTTTATGAATTCTCTCCTTTTCCTAGTTCTTAGCAGAGAAAAGACACAGTTACAATAAGTGACATATATGCAATAAAGTCCTGTGGTTAATTCCAAAAACCACGATTAAAACAAGCCACGACTTAATATGCAATATGGTATTACAGTCCATCAAAATTACAGAATCGTTTTTTTTGTATACTCTGTGGGAAAGTGGAATTTAGTCTCTATTACAACAATGTCACTTTTCATTTTCAGGTTAACTGGTGGAAATCTTAGAAGCCCAGGATTTGAAGATCTCATTCGAGTTTTTCCTAACTGTCACCAGCTGGAAGAAATAAAGTAATTTAAACCTTTTCATTTAGGAAAAAAGGGTAAAGCAGTGAAATGCCTGACCACGAATCAGAGACCTTAATATTTTAATCAGTTGCTATATTCCAGTTTGCAGGACAACAAGTTGAAGGAGCAGGACATGATCAAGTTGGCAGAAATATTTCCCACCGTGGAAAAGTTGAAGAGAATGGAGTAAGTATAGTATAAAACGTTTCTCAACCTTGGCACTTTAAGAGGTGTGGACTTTAACTCCCAGAATTACCCAGCCAGCCACGTCACGTCTTTGACAGAACGCGTTTTGTATCTATATCCTCTTCTGACTCTATTAATATAGCAGCTCATGTCTCATGTTTGACCTACCATTTTGAGAAATCATTGCCTTTCAAGTCATTAAAATTGCCTTGTGACAACCAGCTTTATCAATATACATATACACACAATATAAATGTTTTTCCTGAGGAATATTTACATAAGTGGACATCCCCATATTTTACTTATTACATTTATGTCTCACCTTTGTGGAGGAGTTCAAGGCAGTGTATACAGTACGTGGTTGTCACTCTTCCCATTTTTCCTTACAACAACCCTGTGAGGTATGTTGATTGGACTGTATTTGCTCTCCCTGATCTTAGTCCAATACCTTAATCATTGCACCCATATTGGTTCTCTGGAATGGTGCAATGTTTTGCAGAATGAGCTGTGCCTATTACGGTTTATTCAGATTTTAATTCCCTGTGCCATTTAGCCATAGTTTGCTTAGATGTCAGGTTAATTATTGTTAGCTGAACAGGTAGCTCATTCTGCCGTAGAACATAGAAGGGACCTCTTATACTCCAACCCCCTGCTCAAGGCTGGAGACCTTCTAAACAAATAATGGTTTATAAAAGACAGGGCTCATCCATCAGCTGAAACAAAAGCAACTGTCCCATCATGGTTTAATGAAATGCATGAACACAATCTCAAAACATTGTTCAGCAAACGGTGGCCTGATGCCATGCAAAACTATGGTTTGTATTTAAGATAAAAGTCTGATTCATAAAATAGAAAAAAAACTAGGATGGTCAACAAAGGATTGTGATTTTAATCTCTGAAACTTTGCACGTAATCTTTGAAACTTTTTCTGCTTAACTAGTAATTGCCATGGCTTTATAACAGTAAATGTATTATATTTTAAACAGTTTAAGCCACAACAAGATGTCCGTGGGCACCGTGCTGGCCTTCAGCAGAGCAGTTGCAAAATGTCCCAAAGTTTCCAGCCTTGAAATAAGGTACCAACTGTTAAAAGATTGCAAGAGAAAAATGATAGCAGAATTCTTCCCCCCCCCCCCCCCGTCTTAAAACAAGACCTTCCTTATCTCTTGACTATTAGGTAAATAGCAGATTGCTGGCCTTGTGGGCAACTCTCATTAATACTATTCTATGAAGCTGTTTTGTTGGATGGGGTAGCAAGACTAAACTCATATATTAATTTTCCACTGCTTATTTCCAGGAAGAACATATTAATAATCTCCCTTGCCAACTTCTCTCCAAAAGAACCTAGGTGAGAAAATGATTTTTAAGGGATTAGGGGTGACGTGGTTGCAGCGCTCCAATATTTGAGGGGCTGCCACAAAGGAGAGGGGGTCAAGCTGTTCTCCAAAGCGCCTGAAGGCAGGAGAAGAAGCAACAGATGAAAACTAATCAAGGAGAGAAGCAACTTGGAACTAAGGAGAAATTTCCTGACAATGAGAATGGCTTGCCTCCAACACTGGAGATTTTGAAGAAGAGACTGGAGGGCCATTTGTCCAGGATAGTGTAGAGTCTCCTGCTTGAGCAGGGAATTGGGCTAGAAAATCTCCAAGGTCCCTTCCAACTCTGTTATTCTATTATTTTGCTTACAGTAATTTTTAAAATTAATTAGTTCTAAAGAAAAATTGGCCGAAGTTCATTGTTTAAAGAAGTCCAAAAGACAGAAATTGCAACATAGGGCAGACTGACAATAGAAAGAAGTTTTAACGGGACAGAAGTCTAGACCCGAATGGAAGAAATTAGGATTTAGGATTAATTTAAATCCCAGTGATTTTTTGGGGTATTTTGAAATTATAATTGTTGAACTAACTGTGGTTTTTGGCATTTGTGTATGTCTATGTGCATTTTAATTGATTTTTGCTTAAAACAGAGATAGATTTTCAAAAAAGGTAACACAGTTCCTATAAATGAGCAGATAATGACTGAAGTTATACAAGTAATGCTCAGTATAACATTAGTAAGAGATTCCCAGGGTACAACAATTTGTTTTCATGACATAAAAAGAAGTGTAAATGCCAAAATCTCTATTATTATTTATAAATGTTAAAAAGAAGAAAAAAAAACAGCCCTAGAAATAATATAAATATTTAATTTCTTTCTTCCCTCTTCTTTGTACTCCCAACTGTTTTGCATAAACCAGCATAAACGTCAGAAACCAGCTATCTATTGATCTATCAACTCATATTTACTGTATCGTTTCAGGTTAAAAGATGTGGGAATTAATGAAGAAGAAATTGCTCCCAAACCCAGAAGTTTAATTTTACAGTAAGTATCTCTATGTGACAGAATTTATTGACGGTACATTTTTTCAAAAAAAATTATCCAACTCGTCTTTTTACATGTGTGCTTGTTTTAAAGAACAAACCCAAACACGTGAAGATATTCTGGCAGTTAAAAAAAAAGGGAGACACAACCTGTACCGTAAAATTATTTGAGAATGCAATAAAATTCTAATGCATCATATTTATAACAATACATAAAGCCATGATTTAGCTGCTTGGGTTCGTGTCTTTCCACATTGGCAACAATAACCCAGCATAAGGAATAATGTTCTTGGTTTTGCAAGGGTTTCATGTGACACGGACAGGGCAACGGGATAAAAATGATGGATGAAATCAACTAAACCTATATTCATGATTGCTGCTTTCTTCTTGTGGCGTCCAGGTTGCAAGATTGCCAGTTAGATTCACGAGCGGCAGAGGAGTTGGTGGACATTCTCCAGAACTGTTCCCGCCTGTCTAAAATCAAGTAGGTGGCCATTCTTTCCAAGCATCTGTAAACCAAAAGATGCTTCAGTCAATTACTAACCTGAAGAAACACGTTAGTTTATCAGATAACCAACTTGGTGATGAAGGGTGTGGAAAGCTGATGACTGTGGTGTCCCAGATGTGCACATCTGGTCCTCTCACGTAAGTCCTTCTGAAAATGTGCCTTTTTCATTTGATAGGAAAATACATTTGATTTGATTCGTAATACAGGTAGTCCTTGGCTTACAAACATTTGTTAGCAACCACTTGAAGTTATAACAGTATTGGGGGAAAAAATGACTTGGGATCAGACTTTGCCTTTAACGATTGTCGCAGCTTCACCACGCTCATATAAACAAAACTCAGGCAACTGACATGTGATCATGTGATCGCCATTTGCAATCTTCCGGGCCGGCGTCTGACAAGCAAGTCAATGGAAGAAGTCACATTCGCCGCAGCGATTTGCTTAATGGCTGTGGCAAAAGTCATTGAATTGGGCATGACTCACTTAACAAGTGTCATACTTGGCAATGGAGATTCCAGTTGTGGTTGTAAGTCAAGGGCCACCTATAAGTCCAATCTAAAAATCCCACTTTGCAGTCTAAAGTACGTTCACACTGAATTTTGTGAGCCAGGAGCTTAGAGACACAGCTCTAAGCTGTGATACTTTCTCAGACCGAGGAAGAACCTCGAAAAACATTACCCAGAAAATTGCATGGGCTAGTAGTCCACATGGTTGTCAAGAAAAAGACAAATTCCCCACCTCCCCAAGCAACAGCAAAGTTAGGAACGCACAACCCATGCATCGCAGTTTATTATATTTCACTAAGGCAGAGGTTTACAACCTTGGCAGCTTTAAAATGTGTGGATTTCATCTCCCAGAATTCCCCAGCCAGCCCTGAAGTCCACATGGCTTAAAGTTGCCAAGGTTGGACAGCCCTGCACTAAGCCATCGGTTAATATTAATGTGGCCTTTGTTGCTCTTGCTGTTTTCTGATCATCTCTCTTTCTTGTCATCTGATTTGGTTTTCCGCAGTTTAAGCAACAACCGGCTCTCGCTTAAGAGCATTTTTTGTCTCCTGGACACAGCAAATCTTTGCCCAAATGTTGTGATGCTGGAAGCCAGGTATGCCTGGGGCTAATCGGGAAAAGGACAGTTCAGTTTTTAAGAGAAATGGCTGTTGTTATAATTCAGGGCTGAAGGTTGAGCAGCAGAAGCATTTTAGCTTTATTATATGTGCCCACTTTTGACTGGTTGAATGTTCTCTGGAGAAGTTTGAGTTGCATGTTTGCACTTATACAGAATGGTGGGGGACGGAAGGATTTATACTTCTTGCAGACAGAAGTCCAGTCAGAGCTTGAAAAAGTGCTTGAAAAAGCACTTTTGGGACAACCATGACCTGGATGACTGAGAATCTCCGTAGACGTGTTCATCCATTATTTCTTAGGCTATTTCCTGCAGACCTTTGGCCAACTTTGCCATCAAGGCATGATCTTGTAAAACTCTTTCTCTTCTCTCTAGTGTTGATCAACAAATTGCAGTTCTGACCTTTGCGAATAAAGGCAGCCCTGATGCCCTTCAGTCAAGGTATGTGTCAGATCTTCAAGGAAGACCAGATGTTGGAGAAGAGCAAGCAGGGTCAAGTGAGACATCAGTTGGACTTATGATGTTGCTAGAAATAGCCTAACTCCTTTTGAATTTCATCAGCTTTTATCTAGCACCAATTCAGTGCTGACCCGTTAGTTGACTAGAGTAGGCAAAAGTGTAGTTTGTGGTTCATCTTAACTGGAACTTAAATGTTTGGTCCTGATTCTTCACGCCTGACACCAGGCTAGGAAATCAATGACATGTAGATAAGGACTATTTTTATGGAAAACCTATAGTGACAGAATTTTGCAGGTCTCACTGTGTTTCCCCTTCCCTCAGTTCATGTGACCCAGAGAGGGGCTTATCTGAGATGTTTCTTCAAGTTTCTTTCTTGGCCAGGCTCCTTTGATGTCACCATTGCCTTGGTAGTGGGTCTTTCCGTTGACCTTCAAGGCCATTCTTTCTGTCCTCTACTATATAGTAGATTTCTAACCACATCTGACCAATCACATTGCTTGATATCCAGTGCTGGTTCCTTCTACCCATTGTATAATATTTTGTCATTTGTCTGTTACAGGAATTACCACTTTCATGATGCCCAGTTAAACAAATGTCAACAGATGGAGATGGCATCAAAGAAAATATGGTACAGTCACTTGGTTAATATCTGCTTAGTTTGGTCCTCTAAATGCTTGGAGGAAAAGACCATTGTATGTGTCACTGGCTTTGAGGAAGACCATTAAGAGTCTAAAATTTTTCTGAACCAGGTTTAGGGTTTATTATGTTGTGTGAACCTAGCATAAGAACAGTTAAACCCACCTGGCTTAATCAAGACTTGAATGGTGATTTGCCTTCTTTATTAGCCTGACAGGTAATCATTTTCATGGCGAAGATCTCAAGAACTTGTGCTTAGCCTTGAGAAGGTGTAGCAGCATATTCAAATTAGAGTAAGTGTTTATTCTTGTCAATAAATGTGAATGTCCTGAGTTTGGGAGCACATTGAAATTTGGGATGTTTGCATCACTATGTTTAGGTTAGCATTTTGGATGTTTCCTTTTTGGAGAAGATACATTGAGATGCATCTGAATATTTTGAAATTTTCCACCAATATTGCCTCAGTTAAAATTCACAGTCTAAAATAAAATATATAATAACAGAAGATAAATATGCACATTGGAGTAGTCATCTCTTCTTTGCTTTCTTTGTCCTACCATCAGCTTGTCAAGTAATTCTCTGGGTGACTCAGGAATCCTGAAGATAATGGATTCCATCCGAGATCTGAAGAATTTGAATTCTTTAATGTGAGTGAAGGTGGTTCTCTTTAATTAATGATATCAATAGAACTAAATGTCCTCAGACAGATCTTTTGCATAATCAATCCTGACCTAGTCCTCAAGGAAGACATTGAACTGTGTCTGAACAATAATACTTTTTGATGGCAGTTGTTAGCTTACAGTTCTTGTTATTCTTATATTGTTTTGTATTAATATTTTTGAAAGTTGGGAACTTGAAGGTGTGTGGACTTATTTATTTATTTATTAATAAAATTTATATGCCGCCCAATCCCTAGGGACTCAGGGCGGCGTACAAAATTAAAACAACAAATATAACAATTAAAAATGAATACATTCACACAGCATGAATACATTCACACAGCATGCTGGCTGGGGAATTCTGGGAGTTGAAGTCCACACATCTTCAAGGTCCCATCTTTCAAAAACATTATTTTATGTGCTCCTAATGTAAAAGGGAGAGACTTGAAAGTCATCAGCGTCACAATATTAAAAACATCAGCCTATTTATTTTATCATTATTTTTTATCCTCACATACCGATACCAAGTAGCCAGGACAAGGTGCTTAGAGCTTTAAATACCAAAGTTCAATGTTATTGATTAAAGGAATTTTACTTCTGCATATACAACAATCGTATTTGTGTTCCTGGCAATGAACATTTCCATTCTTCTTCCTTCCAGTCTGGATAATAACCAAATGTCACTGGATGGTGTCTTTTCCTTGCTGGAAGTCTTCTCCATCTTACAACATATCAACTCAGTGCAATTAGGGTATGTCAACAAAACCAGTTCTTCACCACTGACCTTCTCAATCCAACATGTTAGCAGCCTTTGGTCCAGTCTGTCCTACTACATCTTTATCAACAGAAGTCTACCAGCTGTGGTGGGCTACAAAAGTTTTTATCTCCAGGGGCAAAATTCTTTTATGATTGGGACTGGAGGAAGTTGTGTTCTAATATAACTGGATTGAGTGTTTCATGTTTGTTTGTGTGCCTGTTTTGTGCCTTCGGGTCAGTTTAGACTCCAGACAATAGCTCGGAATAGACCTTACAGTTTTCTTGATAACCTTTTTTTTGTCCTTGCCTTCTTCCTAGGGTTGAGGTCCACTGGTCTTAATCTTCTCAGTTGACTTTTGAGCTTAACACAAGAGCAGAATTCGTAATATTCCATGTTCTACTGCAGAGTCTTTAACCACTATAGCACGGTGTTTCTCAACCTTGGAAATGTTAAGATGTATGGACTTCAACTCCCAGAATTCTGACTGGAGAATTCTGGGACTTGAACGCCATACATTTTTAATATTGAGGATTGAGATCAGGATTGGGCAACCCTGACCATAGCAATATTTCAGCAATATTTCTCCTTCTTTATAGCTCTTCCTGCATTTTACAGCGGACTGGCCAAAAAGAGCAGGAATAATATTTATGCAGATTAATTAGCTGGAGTTAGATTCTTTTTCAAGGCTGGTCTGTTCAAAGACAACAACCGCCTTAAAGTGACATTGCTGCACAATTGAAAAACCGTGGTTGAGAAGTCAAGTTCATCTCACTTGAGAAACTGGGATTCTACGTTCGTTTAGTAATCACTTTACTCATAGCATTTCTGCATTCTGTTATAGTTTGGGAAGCATCCAGAAATGTCACTTAAGCTTTGGAGAACAAATCAGGTGAGGATTGTATTCATTTTGATGCATCTTTCTTCTCAGCTAGGATTTACCTTGATTATAGGTTAACAGTTTGGGATGGGGGTTCAATTTTTGCATGCAGGCTTTAGGGATCAGTTTCACAATTTCTCCATTTCTGATCCAGTAGTTTAATTAAAAATCTGTGGACCTTCACTTGTTTTTTGCCCTCCGAAGATATAGCCCGGCCAGCAAGCATGCCAGGAAACAGCTGAGCAGCCGTTGCTTGTAGTAAGTTGTGTTCTCAACTTTGGGGGGGGGGCTCATAACTCCAAAGCAGTGGTGCTTGATCTGCCATTCTTTCTCTTGATGGGGCCAAAATATCGTGTCAATATTCCCAAGGACTGGAAATAACAGTTCTAATAGGAGCACGGTGGTTAGGACGCTGGGTTGGAGGTTAGCAAGCCCCTGTTCGAGATCCGAGTGCTGCCCTTGGGAGGGGTGAGGTCCCGTCCTTTGCTCCAGTTCCTGCTAGAAAGGAGCCCCCAACTGGGCGTCCCCCGCAGGCAACGGTGATGTCACTGATCCTTTCAATTCGGGAGTGCCTGGGTGCTTCTGACACAAGTGTGATGCGAACAGTTCTAATATTTTTTGAAACCATCTATTTACAAAATTCTCTTTAAAGAGTTGCAAAAAAAGTAAAATTAATCTGGTTTCCTTATTTTGGGCTAGCATATTGTTATAGGATCCGTAGGAAGGATGAAAAAGCATTGGGGGAAAACATTAGAAGGGGGGGGGAATTGACCTGTTCTGGATTTAAATCTTTGCAATGCTGAATATGATTCTCTTTTTCAGTCTCGAGGGTTGCACAATTGGGCTGGACATGACTCGCCTCTTTAGGATTCTCACCAAATGCTCTGGATTGGCAGAAATCAAGTAAGTGTTGCGACGGATGTGTGCTCATCTTTATCCAGTGTTTAAACCAGAATGGAATTGAATTTGCAAGAACAAAATACAGGTAATCCTCTACTTATGACCAATTGAGCCCAAAATCTTCTAAAGTATTTCTCATTCATAAATGCAGTAGTCTGATGCATTTCAAACTTTCCATTCCACCCTTCTAGCTTCTCTGGAAATTCACTAGGTGATCAAGAGCTTAAGCAGATGCTGTTGTGCCTGCCCAGTCTCAGCAGTTTAAGATTGTTAAGGTGAGTCCGGACTGATTTCTGCCTTAGAAACTCAAGGTAGGTGCCCAAAGCTGCCAATTCCATTAAAAAAAATCCTTAATGTTATCAGATTCCATACACTCTTTACTTTTTGAAGTTTAAGTTAAAAAAAGGATTTGTCAAGCTAAAATAAGGTACAGGTAGTCCATGGCTTACAACAGTTCATTTCGTGTCCATTCAATGTTACAATGGCATTGAAAAAGGGATTTTATGATCATTTTTCACACTTACAACTTTTTGCAATATCCCCGTGGTTATGTGATCAAAATTTGGACATGTGGCAACTAGCATGTATTTATGACCCGAAATCATGTGATCATCTTTTGTGACCTTCTGACAGGTAAAGTGAATGGGGAAGCCATTTCAAGAATGCTGGCTTCATCTGCATTCTTAGAAATTAAAGTGTTGGGTGATTGCACTACATTGCTTTTTATAGAAGTGTGTCCATTTGTCCAGGAAAAAAAAAATCAAACTGGGGTGGAGGAAAAGAGGAGAACTGTGGCATGAGCCATCCAGATAAATTGGTCCTTTCTACCTGGCTGTGACCCTTGTGGCAGCCATTTTGTGAATGGGTACATTCCCCTAGTGGACATTTTGTGGGTTCCTTCACATTTTCTCAAAATTCTAAATGAACCCTCCTCTCCAAACAACCCACAGTCCCCTATTTTCTACAAAGCTCCCAGATACAATGATGAAGTGGTTGTGCCACACATTGAACAAGTTAAACATCTATTATCTTCATTAGCACAAGAGGGTAAACTTCATTAATTTTCTATGGCTTAGTGAAGGGGTCTCTAACTTCATCAACTTTAAGACTTGTGGACTTCAGCTCCCAGAATTCCCCAGCCGGAGTTAAAGTATTAAGGTTGACAAGTTTGGAGACCCCTGGCCTAGTTTATTATGGAAACTCAGACCACTTAGTTCAATAGATTGGGTAAACCAAGAAAATAATTCATTAGCCGTCATAGTGGTGAACCAAGCACGGTTGCAAACCCAGCCAACCTGTTGCTAATTCTGTCCTCTTCTCCCAACCTTTTGCAGTGTCAGAGATAATGCGTTTTCAACCAATGGGATTTGCTTGCTGGCCAATTCGTGCAACTGGTGCAGCAGACTCTCCGAAGTGAACCTCAGGTAAGCAATGACAGCTTGGAATAAGACAAATGTAGGTGGATCAAAGCCAATTGTGATGGAGAAACCTATCATCTCGTCTCCTGTTTCTTACCCCATGGAGATTTCTTGTTTAGGGATAGACACAAGTATCCTTTGGAAATTCTGCACCAAATCTATTGGGGAGGGGGGGGAATCTCCAAAGACGTTGCATGGAGAAATTCTTCCTTAGAGGAAGCACCATATACATGGAGAGTTTATGCACCGGAGACAAATTCCTTGTGTCTCCAATCACACTTGCCCAATAAAGTATATTGTATTGTGTTGTATTTTACTGCATTGCATTGCATTGTATTGTACATTGGTCAAAGAGAGGGCAAAGCTCTCTTGCTTTTTGTAGGATGAACTGTCGAACGCACCCCTTCATTTTTTAAAGTCCCAGGTGTTTTGATTGAGTATGACTTATTCTAGTGGAGAAATCTGGTTTCTGAAAGTGAACATTTGTTCTTTGTTATGGTTCCAGATCAAGGAAAAATGCTTTTTTGCGTTTTGTGGAAAGTCAAGCAAGTCACGCGCTGTTCTGCAGGTTTGTGATGGTTCAATCCAACCCTTTGTGTTTTTATGATACTTTTGTTTTCTTCAAGAACATGGATAAATCTTGCATGCTTTGAAAACCCAGGGAAGGAACCAAATAGTTCAGGCGTCAGCCACCCTTTCATGTATGTGAGATTATGGAAAACAAAGAGCCCCCCAAAATAAATGATCAAATATAGCATTATCAAAAAAACAGGTTAGTATGATTAGCCCCTTCCTTCCTTCCTTCCTTCCTTCCTTCCTTCCTTCCTTCCTTCCTTCCTTCCTTCCTTCCTTCCTTCCTTCCTTCCTTCCTTCCTTCCTTCCTTCCTTCCTTCCTTCCTGTTCTACTTTTGCAAGAGCACACAAATTGAAGTCTCAGAGCTGAATGGCTTTTCTTGGGTGCCTTTGGAGAGCACTTCCAAAATTGCTGCAAAAACACAATATGAAAAGTATATCAAACATGTGGCAATTATTTGTACTTAATTAATTGATTGTACTTAATTAATTGGTTGTAGGCCACCTAGAGTCGACTCTTGATGGGCAGTGCATAAATTTAATAAATAAATAAAATAATTGCATTCCATTTTAATTTGTGTTTTGTTCAAATGAATCAGATTTAGGTTTGGTCCCAGCTCTCCTATTCTGAGGAGTACATTACAAGTCAGGCAAGAGACAAAGGCAGAACGAGGTTCACTACATTTTACAGCAATCCCTGGTTTGCTAAACAATGGTCAATAGTTACTTTTTTATTTATTTAGAATAACAAAATTGGAAGGGACCTTGTAGGTCATCTAATTCAACCCCCTGCTCAAGCCGGAGACCCTGTACCAGGGGTAGGCAACCTTGGTTCTTTTATGACTCATGGACTTCAACTCCCAGAATTTCTGAGCCAGCATTGCTCAGCTTGGAAACCTCTGCCTTTCCCCTCAGCATGGCTGGCCCAGGAATTCTGGGAGTTGAAGTCCACAAGTCATAAAAGAGCCAAGGTTGCCTAGCCCTGCCCTATACCATTTCTGTTGTCTTAAAAACATCCAATATTGGAGCACTCACAACTTCTGAAGGCAAGCTGTTCCCTTGATTGATTGTTCTCATTGTCAAAAAAAATTCTCCTTATTTCTAGGTTAAATCTCTCCTCGATCAGTTTCCATCCATTGTTCCTTGTCTAGCCTTTGTGTGCTTTGGAAACACACATTACCAAATGTGTTAACATTTGTTCCCTTGTCTTCCTGAGCTAATTAGCCAGTTTTCAGACCAATGCATTATTATAATATCATTTTCTACATTTAAAAGAGGACTTGCTTCTAACTTTCCCCTTGAACTGTCTTCAAACAGGTTCGTCAACTGTGACATTGACTGGGCTGATCTCAGAGCGTTGGGTGCCGTGTTTGAAAACTGTGACCATCTTGCAGAACTGGAGTAAGAGAAGTATTAATACAGTTGCTCCCCCCAGCCCCACTTCCAGTTTCAGAAATTTAATTAAATTTGTGGGCGTGGGATCTGGAGGAATTTGGGGAATTGAAGTCCACAGATCTTAAAGTGTCTGAGGTTGAGAGACATTGATGTAGAGACTGAGACGTTGAACTGGGTTTAAGGAGTTTTCCACCAACCGTGGAATTTATCAGGGTTGTGATTGTGAGTTTAAAATAATGGAGGAGGCCAAAACTGCTGCCTTGAACTCTCACTCTGACTAATTAGTCCATCAGGTGGCAATTGGGAAACTAAGCACAAAGGACTCAAAGCTTGGATAGTTGTAGAGCAGGGGTTCTCAACCTTGGCAACTTTAAGACTTGTGGACTTCAACTCCCAGAATTCCTCAGCCAGCAAAGCTGGCTGAGTATTGTAGACTAAACTGGCAGTCCAGGCCTAGGATTCTATGCTATTATGATTTAATATCATGGAAGAGAACATGTCCTAACAACTTCCACCTTGTTCCAAAAGAACTCACCACGGACACATCTCTCATTCAACTTTAAATTTAATCATTTAAAAGATTGCTCTGAAGTCATCTAGAGTGGAGTCTAACTTTGAGAGGCCCATACAACTTCGAGCGTGGTTAAGCTTTTTTTTAAAAAAATAATTTCTGGACTAATAAGGACATTTTAAATATATACCTATTCTGAAAGCTTACCGTTTTTTTTATTCCTTTGTCAGTCTATCTGGGAACAGTCTTGACAATGAAGCACTGAGGTGTCTTTTCGGACATTTGCCCAAGACCCAGAATTCGTGCTTATTGAAGTAAGTTGATTCAGCGTGAGGAGCAGAGGGGACTGTGGTGGCACAGTCGTTAGAATGCAGAATGCTAATTCTGCCTACTGCCAGCAGTTCGATCCTCACTGGCTCACGGTTGACTCAGCCTTCCATCCTTCCGAGGTCGGTAAAATGAGGACCCCGATTGTTGGGGGGAAAAGGCTGACTCTGTAAACTGCTTAGAGAGGGCTGTAGAGCACTATGAAGTGGTATATAAGTCTAAGTGCTATTGCTATCGTTATTAATTTTCAAAGGAAAAATAAATAATTCATTAATTGTCATTGCTGGTATAGACTCAATCATAATAGAATCTAGCAAGACAGACTATTTACCGTAGTAACATTTTAACCACATAGAAATATATACATACATACATACATACATACATACATATATAGTTTTTAATAAAAACATGTAACATATGTTTGAACCTTTAAAAGGTAAGCTGAAATAATTTGGCAATTGTCATTTTCTTCGTAGAATCAACCGCAATAGAATCTCTCAAGATGGGATTCTCCTGCTTGTTAATTTCCTTGCCACAATGGACGATGTGGTTGAAGTTCATGCAAGGTGCCACCATTTGTATTAATTTAGTTTCTTTTGATGTTAGGGTGGATTTAGAAATGCAGTTTTCAGAGAAGAAAGGTAGCATGGCTGGATGTTCAAAAGGATTTGAAGTAGGCAGAGAAGATTTTAAAAAGAACTAGAAGTTAACCTGCCCTATTGCAGAAGGCTCAAAAGGAGACTGGACAGAAAATTTGATGGAAATAGATTAGCTTTGTTGAGAATTCAATCCAGGCTCTCAGTTGGATCCTGTTGGACTGAGTCAGCTCAGAAAATTGGTTCAATTCTGTGCTTCCCTTGGAAGCAAAAAAAAAAAAAAAAAAAAAAGGTGAGATGGGCAGCGTATAAATTTAATAAATAAATATCTTTCCAAATCCTTGTATCGCTTTTGAAGCATGGACCTTGATGGTTCCAACTAAACTGTCTATCAGATTCAACCCATTAATTTGATCTGGATATATATGTATATAACTGAATCATTTTCAAAGGGACTCTCCCAATCAACACTGCACATCTCTGTTGAAGCAAAAAGTAGGCCAAATATAGCCTGGGATGTGAAGAATGTAATGGGATTGACAAAATAAAAATAAAGATGGTGGCTCTAACTGCAGTGAAGCTCCATCCCTTTTTAATGTAGATCATATATAGCAAGGATGTCCAAACTTGGCAACTTTAAGACCTGTGGACTTTAAGACCTGTGGACCCCCAGAATTTTAAGTCCACAGGTCTTAAAATTGCCAAGACTGGACACGCCTGATGCATGGTTTAATTGTGCGATTGTAGCTGCCATTTTGACATTTTTGAGCATCCTTGTGGAGATCCCTGAAGGAAATATGACAGAAAGAGCCAAAATCCAACTTAGTTCTACTTACAGTATATATATCTTCTGAAGTATTCAAGTTCAGAACAAAAACTCTTTTTGTTTCCTGATATTTTAATTGTTTGCAGATTCTGTTATATGTGTTAGAAGATGGAACCCTGCCATGGCTTTTCATTGTATTCTTTAAGTTCTATGGATATTAATCTAAAAAGAAATTGGGGATCTTGGAATAGAAAATATTTTTAAGGTTTAGATAGAATAAGCAGTCATTTCAAGGGAGGTTTGTTCCATCCGTGCTTGTCTATTTTTTTCTTTCTTTGCCAGTTTGTGCCCTGAAAAAATGCTACTTATCACATTCAGGAAACAAGCTAAACCTCAAAAGATCCTGAAGTAAGTGAAATATTATTTAAATTCTTCTTTTAGCAACTTAGAGTATGTTGTAGATTATTCCTAGAGTCTCAACGCTCAAACCTATGAGAATTGCTAATTTGGTCACCACGATGTAAAAAAGATGTTGAGACTCTAGAAAGAGTACAGAGAAGAGCAACAAAGATGATTAGGGGACTGGAGGCTAAAACATATAAGGAACGGTTGCTCAGTTTAACGATCAGTATTCCAATATCTCAGGGGCTGCCATAAAGAAGAGGGAATAAGCTATTTTCAAAGCATGGAAACTATTAGAACTAAGGAGAAACTTCTGACAGTGAGAACAATTAATCAGTGGAACAGCTTGCCTCCAGAAGCAGTAAATGCTCCAACACTGGAAGTTTTTAAGAAGAGCCAGCCATTTGTCCGAAATAGCGTAGGGTTTCCTGCCCGAGCAGGGGGTTGGACTAGATGACCTCCAAGGTCCCTTCCAACTTTACTACTATTACTATTACTATTACCTCACCATGAAGTTGTCTCATTCATCCATATTTGAAAGGAATATACACATCATTCCTAACAGAATATTTTTTAAAGGCCGTATCCCCTACAATACTCTTTTGTGGCAAATTTCCCTATTTTAAATACCCTTTAAAATATAAATGAACTTAGTGCAAGGTGGGGTTTTGTGTGTGTGTGTGTGTGTGTGTGTGTGTGTGTGTGTGTATTACAACTATCCTCGGTTGGCTTTTTTTCTTTTTTTCAGTCTAAAGGAATGTGACTTCCAAGCAGAACATCTGGCACAACTGTTGAGTAGGCTGGAAGAATGCCCTGCCCTGAGTGATTTCACGTGAGTTCATGCACTGTTTCATAACTTTCTTCCATCTGATGATTTGGTTAGGAGCCATTGAATCAGAACTTCTCACCAGCTTATTGTATTTGTTCTTAGATCCATTAATAATGGCCTGACACTCAGCAGCGCTAAAACCCTCCTTAGGGCCTTAAAGAGAGCAGCTGGTGTGCAAAAAATAAGGTAAGAAGGTATATAATCAGGGATCAGAAAGTGCAAAGAAATTCTGCTTTGTTCCTTCTCCTATTATTACTTCCAGCTCTGTTGAACTTTCAGAAGAGAATATATGTAGTTCAGAATTGAATTAATGGCATTTTAGATGTTTGCCTTTAGCTAGGCTGGTTGTTTTCAGGTATTTCATTACCCAATTAGGTGATAGCATTGCACAGGTGATCACCCAGAGTTCACCTCTGCGTGAAGAGGTGTGGTGGCTCAGTGGCTTAATGATCCTGGAGATGGTCTCAGCTCTGGCAGTTCGAGCCCAAGGACTGCGTGAGGCAGGGTGAGCTCCCGTCCCTCGCCTCAGCTTCTGTCCACTTAAAAGTTCGAAATCATGTTCTGTGTGAGTAGATAGATAGGTACCACTTCAGTGGGGGCGATGAGTTGGTGCTCTGTGCAGGCAGTCAGATTCCTGATGGCTCTGACCCTTCCCAGTTGTGGTGCCTGTTTGTGAGTCAGCTGCGAGAAGGGAGAGGCTGCAGGAAGTGCTGCTCGTCTTTCTCTCTGGTGCAAAGTCAGCTTTCTCTCCTGTGGCACACCTTGGGAAGCGTGCAAGTGTGTCGTATAACAGGGCGGGTATCTTGGCAAGCCAAACTACTACCCTGCAATAGCATTGTGGTCTCCTGGCTACTGTAACAATGCCATCTGCTAATAATAATTATATCTTTATGTGAATGTGATCTAGGATTTTTTTATGATGAAGGGGGAAACCATGAGGAACCTTGTGAGTGGAAATAGACTTCTCTCAGCTCTTCTGCTTTGTCTTCTAGCATAGAAGAACCATGGGTGGCAGATGAAAGCTTCCTTGCCCTCCTGAGTCTGGCTGCTGAAGTCCAGGGAGAAGTGATCACCATCATGTAATCAAATCCTCCATCTCTACTGTTGACTGACTATCTGTAGGATAGGATCCTATTCAGGGCATGTGTTGGATTGCAGTTGGGGATATATAATGGCTTTTGAGTAGACTGGATCACTTCCTTCCTTCCTTCCTTCCTTCCTTCCTTCCTTCCTTCCTTCCTTCCTTCCTTCCATCCATCCATCCATCCATCCATCTATCCATCATCCATCTTGACAAATAACTGTCAGTGTTGATGAACATTTTCAGTCATTCAGGTAAAATTGTCTGAAAGTCAGACAACTAGGCTTATTTTCTCGTTGATTTGAGATGTTTCGCTGTTCATCCAAGCAGCTTCATCATTGGTTGAGAAATGAAATAAGTCAAACCACTGCCACAAACAAAAAGTCCAGTTGCCATGTCTCAACTTTCAACAGTTTTATTGCCACACACTTTAAAGAAGAATCCCCTGTGGTTGGCGTGCAAGGAAGTGGTACATTCCAACAGCTGTTTTTCTAACTAACTTGCTCTGACAGATGAAGCCAATTGGATGAGCAGTGAAATGTCTCAACCAACATGAAAATAAGTCTGGTTGTCACGACTCAACTTTCAGACAACTCTCAGTGACAATTTTAAAACAATTAAAAACAATTCCAATCACGTCACAGCAACGGAGAAAAATAAACACCATCGACAGTCTCTAGTACAAAGAACCCAAGACCCATGCACAGAAGGAAGTTTTGAGGGCCTTATGTAAGTCAAGCAGGATTGGGGTCCTTCTGATTTCCACAGGGAGAATGTTCTATAAAGTGGGCATCATCACACAATAGGCTCACCCTCTGGGCCCCACTAACTGGCATTCTGTCGCTGATATGACTCGGAATTGTATTGTTTAAACTTGGGAATAGGCTGTTCTGCAAATGCACTGAGGTTCTCAGGAGACGCCAGAGAAATGTAACATGAGATTTAGACAGTCCATGGGAAATACACTCCAAGTACTGCATTGCTGGATTAAATAAGTAGAACGTACTTTCAGGTTTTTTGCTAGTGGGGCTAAGAACAGACTTAAATCTTTCCGCCAGTCTACAATTTTTTTCTTGTTTTTTCACTTTTCAAAAGGAAAGCTGGTTCTTTCTTCACGTTGGAACAGGAATTTTCTCCTCAGGTGGGGAAAGGACAGTTTGTGGTCGACAGGTAAGTAAGTCCTCTTGCTGGTATCACCACCATGTATTTTATGAATGTGTGGGAGATTCTGCTAACATGATACAAAAAAGATGCTGAGACCCTGGGTCACATTAAGCCAGAAACAAATGACATTTTGACTTAATATTAGATGCATTGATTCCTCATTTGATTAATTGATCAAGGTGGTTTGGCTGTTCCAGGACATCTCACCTATTGTTTCCTGATGCTGAAGGACCAACCTCATTTGATGCTTTGGTGCATTTTCCAGCCCTGCAGAAACTTTGGTAGGTCCAATCTAAACCGAGGCATGGGCTTGGCTTGGCTTGGCTGCCTATCTTCGTTGTCTTTATTAGATTCTTGACATCTGTGGTCTTGTTTCCCTTCCTCTTGGTGGTGAAACTCTTCATCTGCATTTCCAAAGATTTGCTTATGCCATACTTCTAACTTTGTTCTTAATTCTGCTTTGAACTCTGTTAATTATATTTTTACATCTTTTGTATTTACATCTTTTATATGGGTTGTCTTGTAAATCTCCCAAGGTCCATTTAGGTGACATAAATGGTGTAAAAATTAGATAGGTAGATAAACAGAAAAAGAGAGAGAAAGAGAGAAACAAGGTACTATAGATAAATGTAGAGAAAGATGAGAGATCTAAATAGATAAGATATTGTAGAAGATGGCATTATCTATCTACAGTATCTATCTATCTACCTACCTATCTTGTCTGTCTGCCTGCCTGCCTGCCTGCCTGCCTACCTACCTACCTACCTACCTACCTACCTACCTACCTACCTATCTATCTATCAGCTAGATAGCTGGCTGGGGAATTCTGGGAGTTAAAGTCCACCTATTTTAAAGTTGCCAAGGCTGAGAAACACTGAGATGGATGGATGGATGGATGGAGATAGATAGATAGATAGATAGATAGATAGATAGATAGATAGATAGATAGATAGATGGATGGATGTCACTACATGAACAAATGATTTTTTGTGCATTGCACAAGTGCCACACATAAGAAAACAAGTGGTGTTCAGTCAGACCCCCAGACTCTTCTCAACGTGCCGTGTTTCTGGATTTCCAGGTTAACCAATGGCAGGATTCTTCCCACCAGCATTGAACATGTAGCTGAGATATTGCAACGGGGCCTTTTCATTGAAGAGATTAAGTAAGTGTCTTACTGCAAAATACAGATTTTTTGGAATGAAAAAGTTCTTTGTTTTGGGATTCCTGTAAGGAGGGGCTTCATAAAGATGGTTAGGACTCATCTTCAAGGAGTAATTCCGATTTATTGATGAGGTGGATATTGATAGTCGTTGACCTATGACCACAATTGACCCCAAAATTTCTGTGGTGAAGTGAGACAATTGTTAAGGGAGTTTTGCCCCATTTTACGACCTTTCTTGCCACAGTTGTTAAGTGAATCACTGCAGTTATTGTTAGTAATTCAGTGGTCCTGGCTTCCTCATTGACTTTGCTTGTCAGAAGGTTTCTTAATGTGATTGTGATAACCTTCCCCTTTTGTGACTTTACAAACTATAAAGGAGTTTACCTGGGGGAGCATATGCGAGATGGACTTCAACACGAGTCCAAAAGCTTAGAAGGCTAAAACTTTGGTTCCGGTGACTGACCCAGAGACCGGATCCTGCAACATTATCCTGGGATATATATATATTTGCCTTCATTCATATGAGAGACCTAACTGGGGGAGTGTGGGGGGGGAAGGAGTGGATCATTAAGGAGGCATGATTGATGTCAGCCCTGTGAGGAAGGCCAGATCAAGAAACTGCAAGCATTCCAGGAAGGATAACAAAATCTTGAGAGCCTGTCAGTTTCCCCTAATACTAAACAAAGTTAAGACCGGTTTACTTTGAGTTTCAGAAAGCTGCCTTTTAGATTTATTTTTATTTTTCAAAAACTCACTCTTGTCTTTTACTCTGGTCATTTAATTTAGCAACGAATGATGCCACTTAATGCACACGCAGTCTTTTACACTCCGGTTGAAACTAATGGAAATTGTGTTTTAAAATGAATTCTCATTTATTCTTTGATTTCAGATGTGTTTATTAGAATATGTCTTTTTGTAAAGTTTTTTCTTGGTTTTGTTCTTGAGTGTACTTTTGTAAAGCAAAGTTATAAACGTAAACAAATTTAAAGCTGTTATCCTTATGAACCGCTTTCAGATTTGCCTCTTTTTCATAGGTCACTGTACCTTAGGCCAGTTTGCTATTTCTATTCTTTCCTGAACAGTTTTTCTAAAAACTTGTACTTTCCTTCCATTTCTAGTTTTTCCAACAGTGACCTCAGTTCGGATGGCCTCAGTGTTCTCCTAGATGCTTTGGCAGGCAAATTAAAGAGCATCAAGTAAGTTGCCTTTTCAGTAGATTGCTGTAGGGCATGGGATGTCATGTAATGGAATTCCAGTTATTTATTTACTTTGTTCCAATAATTCCAGTGTTATTTAGTGGGTTTAATCTTGTGTAAAGAATGAGATGCTGCCTAAATATGCTATGTCCAATTCTGGTCACCCTCATACAAAAAAATATGTTGAAATCTAGAAAGAGTGCAGAGAAGAGCAACAAAGCTTATTAGGGGGCTGGAGGCCAAAACATATGAAGAGCAGTTACAGAAACTGGGTATGTCTAGTCCAGGGGTAGGCAACCTTGGCTCTTTTATGATTGGTGGACTTCAACTCCCAGAATTCCTGAGCCAGCCATGCTGAGGGGAAAGAGAGAGATTTCCAAGCTGAGCCATGCTGGCTCAGGAATTCTGGGAGTTGAAGTCCACCAGTCATAAAAGAGCCAAGGTTGCCTACCCCAGGCTAGGAGATGAATCCATAAAGCAACTATAACTCCATAATTCACATCTCAAAGTTCATGTCTGGCTACTTTATTAGGATAAGCAAAAATGTTACAGATACAAGTGTTAGCCTGAAGGGAAATGAATAGATGCTATTATCTGGGGTTATTTGTTGTGCTTGATTGAGATACCCAAATAACAGAGATGTCCCAAATGGGGTTCCACTATCATAATTATGATCTCTGTCTTCTTTATCTATTTCTTAGTTTGGGCTCTTTGAACCTTGACAACACCACAATTCTGAAGTTGTCGTCAAAGCTCTCTACAATGCCTTTCCTGAGAAGACTTGGGTAAGTATCTGCAGATTGAATTCAGTCCAGCGATCTGGGATCCCAATGAGGCCTGGATTAAATTTCCATCTTCAAGTTGGGAAACTTGGTCTCACATAGAGCAACTGACCTACTGTATGTTTATTTGGCTTTTTGTATATATAATTCTTTCCTAGTTTGAGCAACAACCATCTTGACAGTCCAGTATGTTCTCGCCTTGCAGAAGGTTTGAAGACTATACCTCAAATAGAAGAGATTGAGTAAGTCCTATAGATCACCTGATCCAGTTTGAAAATGGCTTTCAGGTCTTCTTCCACTGGTCACCAATTGATTCCACTGACCATTGAGCTGGATTGCTCTGTAGCCGACAGAAATGATGAAATGCCATAGCGGGTGTTTTGAAACCGATATTCCTCCTGGCTTTGGTGAATCATGAGATTCTACCAAAAATAGTCCCAACCCTAAACTATAACCAGATACATGAATGACAAATTACTTCTTTCTTTGATCCTCTGTGTGTTTGTGCATTTTTCTTTTAAAGCTTAAGTTGCAACAAGATTCAGGATGCAGGCATGAAAGAGATAGCTATGGTCCTTCCAGGAATGAAGAACGTGAAGCTAATCAAGTAAGTGTTTTGCCCTTTTATTGGTCAACTTGACAGATAGCTGATTTGGGCTATCGGTGGTGAAGAGGATTCTGACCCACCATCTAATTGTCCCTGTGGGAGAAATACCAGCGTTGATGGCATGGTTGAATCCAAGGAAGCATGGTTGACTGGGGAATTCTGGGAGTTGAAGTCCACAGATTTTAAAGCTGTCAAGGTTGGACACCCCTGCTGTATATAGTCACCAAGGGCTCCTGAGTTCAATCCCTGGCAGATGATCTGAACCCCCATAGAAAATTCCATGCTAGCTGGGGAATTCTGGGATTTGAAGTCTGCATATCTTCAAGGAGCCAAGGTTGAGAAACACTATACTAACTAATGTCTTTTCATCCTGCAAATTGTTCCTAGTTTCTCCTGTAACAGCATCACTTCAGCTGGAGGACAATGGATTGCAGAAGGTCTGCTTGAGAGTGAGAGGCTGGAAATACTCAAGTAAATCCTCCTTTGTCAATCTGGATTCCTCCCCCATCCAGCTTGTCTCTTTAAAGCATTCCTTTCCCCACTTACAGCTAACAAAGTACAAACATTTCTTGGCATCACAATGTGTGCTGTATCTCCAGGAAGCGATTAATCATCTTTTCTCCAGTCCATGAGTGAGATAGCCTTACACTGTCCCTAGCTTGATGAGGGTCGATGCAGTTCTTAACCCCATTCTTTTTATTCTGACCCCACCCATCGGAAGGAATCTACTAACACCTTTTCTTGAAACTCACAAAAGCTGATGCCTTTTAGTAAAATGTATTACAGGTAGCCAACGTACAATCACAATGAGCCCAACATTTTTGCTGCTAAGTGAGGTATAGTTGTTAAGGGAGTTTTTGCCCCATTTTACAACCTTTCTTGCCACAGTTGTTAAGTGAATCACTGCAGTTGTTAAATTGGAAACATGGTTGTTAAGTGAATGTCATGGTTCATATATATATCTCAAAGCACAATTCCCTCCTCTAATTAGTTTGAAATGCAGGCTTTCCCTCCAGTTCTTCAACCCACCATTTCTTATCATCTCTTCTTTCAAAAAACCTTGGCTCTCACACTAGTTACAATATTGTTATGTTGCCCAGTGTTTGAATTTTGATCACATGACCCTGGGGATGCTGCAAGGGTCATAAGTGTGAAAAATGGTCCTAAATCAATTTTTTCAGTGCTGTAGTGACTTTGAACAGTCACTGGACAAACTGTTGTAAGTCGAGGACTACCTATTGTTGGAAAATGAGGTCTGTCCTCTTTCTCCTGTCTGTCCTTCCGTAAGAGCCTGAAGATCTGGCTTTGCCAGTTGTCCTGGGTGTCCATTGGGAGACTCCGTCACTGGAGGTAGCTACTAGAATCCTTGCAACTCACCCCCCTTCCCCCTCCACACATCCTGCCCATCTTCTAATTCATATTGCTGTACCTTTCCTGATTTATTTTCATTGTTTTAATATGGTTATATGTATGTTTTTAAGAATAATTTTATGTTCTAGTTGTAAGCCTCCTGGAGTAGCCCCTTCTCTTGTAATATGGCTAAATGTAGCGTTCCTTCATCGCAGTTCAGGAAGAAATCGTTAGGCAATGTTAATTCTTCTTTTAATCTGTGGTCCTTCATATCCATTCCCCTTTTCCTAGATTATCTGGGAACAGAATTGGAAATAAGACTTTGGAAAAACTGGCTCCAATTTTGCCTTTCAAGAAGCATTTGAAAGTCCTCCAGTAAGTATCCAGGCTAAGAATACTGCATCTGTAAATCTGTTCCACCTTGTATGACACGGGGGAAGGAAACCCTTCAAAATGTGTAGCACTCAGTGGGCAAAAGGTGTCAATGGCATCAAACAAGCTGTCTGTGGCTCTCTTGTTCTCTGACTTAGGCTTTATCCTTTGTTTTGACAGGGGTCTTTGGTTCTTGGGATGCAAAGACAATAAGCACATCATTAAATAAAGGGATTTGGGGCTTTTATTATTAGCTCAGGCATATAAATTTTAAAGCATAACATAAAAAGCGTATATACAAAATGCTCAAATCTCTTACAGGCTGCCAGGACTCCTTAATCACTGCCGTGGGCCCCTTCTCACTGTGACAAATTTGCAAAAAGTATGCAATGCAACACATTTTCCTTTCCCCCCACATAAATGTCCTCTGGTGTCTCTACAGCCTCTCTTCCTGCCAGCTGGATTCTGAAGGACTCGGCCATTTGGTGGGAATCTTGGCCAAATGTCCACAGATAGAGGAAATCAGGTAAGTGACACAGGAGCTCCAGCCACAAAGGTTCACAATGCCAAGAGTTTTTGAAAACTTTTCCTCATTGTCAATGATGGAGAACATTCTTCCCAAAGTACTGCAAGGAGTCCTCAACTTAGTGGCCACTGGGAACTCTGACAGACCCATCATAGGACCTGGATTTGAAGTTCTGACAATTGTGCTCCCCAGTGGTCATGTGACTACACTTCAGGCATTCCACAACAGGGTTCTGTTTACAGCTGTTTGCAGAGTCCCACCATCAAGTGACCATGATTTACAATGATTTTGCCTAAAACCAGCATTTATTTCCAGTTTTTGGCAAAACTGGCCCATAAGCAAGCCAAAGGTTCCCTTAATGAACATGGCAGTCACTTAACAGCCACAAAAAAGCTTTTGTAAAATGGGGTCAGTCACGTGACCAACCTACTTTATACCCATCACGAGTTACAACGGTGATGGGCAAGCTCCATTACGGTCGTAACTCAAGGAGTGCCTCTAAAAGGCTCTGTCTGTTTTTCGTGGAATTGTCATATGATTCTCCGGCTTTGTCTTCGCAGCTTGTCAGAAAACAACATTGGAGATAAAGGTGTGATGTCCTTTATGACACCATGGCCACCATCTTCACAACTCAGGAAGATTGAGTAAGTTTCCAGTTTCAGGCTACACAAGAGTTAGTGGCAAAATGCATTCTTCATTTTAAGTCATAATGATTTAATGACTCAAATGGTTTGACACTTCGGTTGGTTTGGATTCAGTGATTCAGGACAACTATAACCTGGAAGATTGAGAATCTCCATAGACAGTTAGTGAACTGTGTTAATTACAGACATTATTGCTGCACTCAAACAGCATTAAGCTTCCTTATTTAAATCTTTTTTTTTTTTGTTCCTGCGTGTTTTAACGTGGTTAGGAATATAGTTTATGGTTCAATATATCAGGCCAATCCAGGAAAAGAATCATTTCAATAAGCAAATGAAGTGTGCACTGTGCAAACACAGCCACAAAATAAAAGATTTGGATTTTCTCCTTTTGTTTTAATTTTAGACTAAAAGTCTGCGGTATCAGTGATGGTGCTTCCCAAACTCTAATTGTCGGACTCAGCTGCTGTCCTTTCCTTGAAGAGATTGTGTGAGATTGTATTGCTTATTATTATTATTGTTATTTAAATTTATATGCTGCCCAACGCCCAGTGACTCTGAGTGGTGTAGGTTCTCCTGCTTGAGCAGGGGGCTGGACTAGAAGATCTCCAAGGTCCCTTCAAGCTCTATTCTATTCTATTCTATTCTATTCTATTCTATTCTATTCTATTCTATTCTATTCTATTCTATTCTATTCTATTCTATTCTGTCCCCATCTTCTTTGTGGCAGCCCCTTAAATAGTGGAAGACTGCTATCATGTCACCAGAAATGTTCTGGTTAATTCTTATCTTGCTATTGCATCAGAGGGATGCCTAGAAATTCTTACCCCTTGGATAAGAACCTCTCTCATATCTGATTTTGCTCTTTTTAGCTTGTCTTGGAATAAGCTTGGTGATGAAACTGCCAAAGAGCTCGCCATGGTTCTCCCTGGGATGATAAGGTTGAAGATTTTGGAGTGAGTCGCTTAAGAGCTTCAAACTGCTTTGCTTGGGTTAGGAAGGGGACTTTGATACAACCATCAGTAATTTCCCTTCTGTTCTTCTCTTCCCTCTCTAGTCTAGACAACAACTGTATCACAACCTACGGTGCTTCTATGTTAGCAAGGCAGCTGCCTCGATGTCCTGGAATCCAGACTATTCGGTGAGCTTTCTAGGAGTAGTAAGAGCAACCAGGCTCCTCTGAGTCCCCAAACAAAATTGGATTAATAGGCTGAGTTATCAATCTTCAACCTTTGAAGACCCCCTTAATCCTTCTGTTGTGTAGTTTGCATGGTGCTGCAACCCAGTTGAGTCTGCCCAAGAATCATAAGTGGATCCCAATTTTGTTAGTTGAATGCTTACCAGATGTGTGGACTTCCAGCCCCTCCTAAAGTCTCCAGCCAGTGCAGCCATTGCTGAGAATCCTGAATGTTCTTAGCCCAAACATCTGAAGGGCGGAGACTGAACAAGGATAGTCTGCATGGTGATGGTTAGTTTTGGTCACATTACAAAAAAGACATTGAGACTTTGGAAAAAGTGCAGAGAAGAGCAACTAAGATGATTAAAGACCAGGAGACTAAAACATATGAAGAACGGCTGCGGAACTTGGGTTTGGCTAGTCTAAAGAAAAGAAGAAATAGGGGACACATGATAGCAGTATTGCAGTATTTGAGGGGCTGCCACAAAGAGGAGAGGGTCAACCTATTCTCCAAAGCCCCTGAAGGCAGGACAAGAAGCAACTGATGGAAACTAATCAAGGAGAGAAGCAACCTGGAATTAAGGAGAAACTTCCTAACAGTGAGGACAATTAACCAGTGGAAGGGCTTGCCTTCAGACATTGCAGAGGTTTTAAAGAAGAGACTGGACAGCCACTTGTCTGGAATGGTGTAGGGTCTTCTGCTTGAGTAGGGGGTTGGACTAGAAGACCTCCAAGGTCTCTTCCAGCTCTATTTCAGCCAAGATATTTCAATAGTAACAGTCCTCCCACTCCTTGCAAAACAGCTCCACAATTTATGACTCTTCCGAATTGGTGTTTAAATGGCCCTAAATAGGTCTTTGCCTCCTTTAACTGCCACTTTGCAATGCACAAAGAATTCCTAAGATGCATCCAAATCAGGGTGAGGACATTTATTTCCTGCGTTTTGTGGATAAAAACAGAGCTTTAAAGCAGGGTTTTGCCTTGCTGCAAACGTTTAGCGGGCAGCAGTGAATACCATACTCCAGGTGCCTAAAAATGCCCCTTTGTCTTTCCAGGTTATGGCACAATCCAATCCTGAAGGATGTCAAGCAGAAGCTGGCAGATCAAGAGCCACGATTACATTTTGCTTGAGATGGGAGAAGCGGAACCCAAACCTGCGGCTTTGAGGGAGATTTGCTACTGTCCAGAGTCTTTTAGACACGTGACAGTAAAGAGAGTTCCTTGGATCTCATTAAAGAAGCCTTTCCCCAGCCCATAAATGAGACCGTATCAAATCACCCTTAGTTCTACTGGTATTAAAGTGGCCCTTTCTGTTTTATTCCAACGCTGTCCTCAAGATAACGACCAATCCAGAAGGTTGTGTTGCTGTTTTCTTTGGAGACAAACCGAGGAACTGCAGGGCCTCGGAACAGAGGCTTTGGAAAAAGGAATTTGGGGCCCACCCAGCCTTGGGGAAAGACTTGATGTCTGCAAAACTGGATTTCATCTTCTTGAAATATCTTCGCTCAGACAGAGTACCAGAGGAAGTACGTTAATTTTGCACTAATGCACTCAGAATCCTTCACAGGCAAGAAAACACGGGACTCTGCAATACAAACGAACACTGAGTTTTTACCTGTATTTATTTATTTATTTTCCCCTATCACAAGTTACTTTAGTTGGCTGATGCTAAGGCTGGTGGTACCTGAGAATATAAGAAACAAATTCAGCCTTCAAGGGGTTTTCCAGAGATTCCTGCTAGATGGCGCTCTGCCCTTACGAGAATGGGACAGATAAGCAGCGATTGTTTTCTATGGGATGGTAAAAAAAGTTCTTAATTCTAAGAATCCCTGGACACAGACATCTTCATTTGTGAGTTCAAGATTTTGCTCAAGAAAATAGACGGAGGTTGGTCCTACGATTAAGCAGGCGGCAGAACTGAGAGGTAGAAATTAAGTGATCCTTGAGCTCCCCAGCCCCTAAATTATCTGGAGATGCTGCCTGTTGCCCAAGGAAAAGATCCAAGTGGAGACCAGTGGAGACCAGTAGGGCTTAGTAGGTGCAGAAAGTAAGAAAGCTGACCTTGATGGAGATATGCAGTAACTGTTTCCTAGGTAAAAGAGAAGGAAGAGTTTTTAAAGTCAAGAATACCTTATAGAACAGGGGTTCTCAACCTTGGCAACTTTAAGACTAGTGGACTGCAACTCCCAGAATTCCTTTGCTGGCTGAGGAATTCTGGGAGTTAAAGTCCACAAGTCTTAAAGTTGCCAAGGTTGAGAACCCGTTATAGAACATCCAGAAGTGCACTGATGATATTACCTACTTGGGTCATGAAATACCTGCCAGTGAACCACCAAGCTCGGAGAGCACCAAAAACCCCACAGTCCCCTTCTCTTCCTCGTCTCTGCAAACTCCACTCTCTTCTAGTACTGATAACGTTACCTAAATTGGTGGCAGCTCCTTTAAGCACCTTGCTGAGCAGTGAAAATTCCAGTCCAATTGTGGCCGTTAAGTCAAAGGCTATGTTCCTCTTATCCTTTCCAAGGGCCTTGTTTTATCCCAGCTCACAAGGAAAGAAGGGAACATTTATTGTGTGCTTGTGCTGTGAGGGATATGTGTGTGTGTGATTAATATCTTGACACTTCCCCATGTGACAATAATCATAAATTTTCCAGGTCACTATTCCCACACGGTGTAGCAGCCGACAGGTTTACTGCCTACTTAACTTGGCCATCTGGGTATGACAACATATGTTTGGTAGCTAAGCTTCAGCAAACAAACCAGGGTGTGAATCCAGGTTGTCTGAACCAATGTGTCACTCATGGAACCTTTCTTGTCTCAAAAATGCACTTGACGTCTCCAATAAAAAAAAATCTAACTGCACTGCCACTGAATTATACCTCTTTCCCTTGGCTTGATGTTGCTTCTGCAAATTTTGGTCAGCATGTTCTTTTATGATGCTGGTCCAAGATGATAATGAACATGATCTCTCCACCCATCTCAGGAATGAATGGCTGAGCGCAGGAAGAAGGTCCAGTGAGATGTAAACTATCCCTAACTTCTGGAGGCAAGTTGTTCCAGGGGTGTTTTTTTCCTGACAGGGAGAACAATCAACCAGTGAGCTGGCCTTCAGAAGTTGTGGGTGCTCTATCACTTGGAGCTTTTCAAGAAGGGATCGGACAGCCCTTTGTCCAGAACGTTTCCTCCTTGAGCAGGGGCTGGACTAGAAGACCTCCAAGGCCCCTCGGTGAAGAAAGAGTCCCCGGATCGACTGGAGGAGGGGGCAAAATCCTGTCCGGAGAATGCGAAAAGTACCCGTTGAAAACTAGAGAACAGCTCGGTGTGATCCCGCGTGCTGGAGGCGCGTGAGAACGCGCTCCGAGCTCACTCGGCGGGAGGCGTGCAGGCGAGCCCTGCCCTGCTCGCGCACACGACCCCTAAGCCCGCGTAACGAGGCCCAAAGGGTGCCGGGTCCACTTCAAGGGCCACGCCAGATCTTCCCCTCCACGCCGCTTCCCCAGGACCCCCGAAGCCGCAAGTCTTCGGGGACCGGCTGGTCACCGCGGAGGGAGGCAGCGGCGCCGGCCGGAGCGAGAGTTGCCCCGGGTGGGCAGGCGCCGGGAAGAGGGGAGGTGGCCGGGCTTGGTCCTTCCCCCGCCGGCTGGGCGGGCGGCGCTCCCGAGGAAGTCCCGAGACTTGGCGGCTTCCCCTCGGCGGACTCTCGCCTCTCCGCCCCCCGAAGGCGGCTGAGCTCCGCCGCGCCTCCCTCCCTCCTTCCCCGCCCCCCGCTTTCCGGCCGCCGCGCCTGGCGCACCAGCCGAGCCCGCAGCCGCGCAGCGCAGCCGGAGAGCGCCGGAGCCCGGGCTGGGTCGGTCGGTGGCTCGAGGCGGCCGGCGCGGCGAGGCGGCGGCAGCGGCGGTGAGGACGATGCTCTGCCCCGGCGGACGGCTGCTGCTGCTGCTGCTGCTGCTTCCCTGAAGCGGCGGCGAAGGGAGCGTCGGAACGCGGCTGAGCGGTGAGTCTCGGGCAGGGCGTCGGAGCGGGCGCGCCCCGGGCGTCCGGGAGTTCGGCTCCTCGCTCCGGAGCAGGCTGGAGGGGAGGGAAGCTGGCTTGCCGGAGGCCTTTCCGCACGTGTTGCTCCCGAGCCCCCGGTCGTCGGGGCGTCGGGAGAGGCAGGCTGGAGCCCTCCGCCTCGCCTCTTGTCTGTGCGGCCAGGTTCACGTGTGGATTGCAAAACGCGGGTCTTCGCCTCGCGCCTTTCCGCGGCTCGGCGTAGCTTTCGCTTTCTGTCGCTTTCCTTGCCTGGCGCCGACGGCGAACAGCTGGCGGGTTTGAATTCGCACCGCCCGGTTGTGAGAATCTAGCCAGTTGGGTTAATTCGTTAGCTGGTGGTCCGGTTAGCGTGTATTTGGGGGGGGCACAGCTTAGAAATGGCAGCCGCAGTCCAGAGAAAAGGAAGAACGTGCCTCTAGGCAAGTGCAGAGTGCAAGTAGCGTTACCTGCCTAGTTAGCCTACCTGGCCGGTCTTAAATCGCGTTATTTCTTTTTTCTGGAGCGGCAGGGCGCTTTTCTAAACCCTGAAAGCTTTGTTGTGTGTGGCACAGACACCCAGCAGTGCCTGTTTTTTTTCCCTACACCACAGGCGCCCCAACAAGTGGAAACTAAACCAACTTTCAGTAAACCTGGATTTATTTTTTATTTCTTTATTTTCATTCCATCTTTATTATTTTTGGTAAGCAACTCAAGCTTACCATCCTGAACTCACACTCCCTCCTCCTTCTATTCTGTTTCTATTTCAGGAGTCATATTGTCTCCCCACCCCCCAGTGGGCTTACTGGTCCCCCTAAAGGATGGTTGGTGGGCCAGGGCCTGCCTTTTCCTTCCCCGCCTGTGAGGGTCCTGAGTGCCCCTCTCCAGAATAGGGACCCAAAGACAATCAATCAATCGATACAAGCTGATGCAAATGCTTCAGTATCTTTGGTGTCAGGCTTTGTATAATATCTCATCTGCACATCTGATTTTTAAGTTTATAGCTTTGATAAAAGACCTTGTCCTGGGTCTCAGCTGAAATATAATATGAATGATTAACTAATGAAGCAAGAGGACTGTCCGGGCTCCACTAAGGAAGAGAAACATGGCTTTTGCTTATTGAATTGTAAAGGAAATGGGCTAGGGAGCGTGTTTGTTTACACATTACAGCACAAAATTCTGTTTATCGTCCTTTGGGTAATGATTTTTAACTGATATAATTATTAGTAGGATTCATCTCCGTCAATGTTTCCAGTACAACAATAACAGGCTGGATAACCCGTGGCTTAGCATGATGGCTTAGGCCAACCATTACAGCTGCAATTATACTATCCTAATAAACTGAAATCTGGAATTTCCATTTAATCAACAAGCAGGGATTAAGCAATTGTGCCGAGTGTGAATCAGACCTACAATTTAAGCTGACTGTATCTTGTCTGTAAAAATCTTCATCACCACAACAGAACAGCAATATATTTTTTTAAAAACAATGCTTAAATGTTGAAGGCACCAGGCTAGTGCCTCTCTCTCGGCAGGACTTAAGTGCTGAAGGCACCAGCTAGAAACCAGGAGACAGTGAATTTTAGTCCTGCCTTAGGTACGAAAGCCACCTGGGTGACTTTTGGCCACTCATCAGGAGATGGTGAGTTCTAGTCCTGCCTCAGCATGAAAGCTGACTGGGTGACTTCGGGTCAAACACCAGGAGATGGTGAGTTGTAGTCAATGTAAAAGCTGGGTGGGTGATTTTCGGCCAGTCCCTCTCTCTCAGCCCAACCCATCTCACAAGGACGTTGTGGAGAAAGAGGAGGAGGAAGAAGTGTTAAGTATGTTCACCACTTGAGTTAGCTAGAAAAATAATAAAGCTGGGTTAGAATAGAATAGAATAGAATAGAATAGAATAGAATAGAATAGAATAGAATAGAATAGAATAGAATAACAGAGTTGGAAGAGACCTTGGAGGTGATCTAGTCCAACCCCACAGGCAAGAAACCCTATACGATTTCAGACAAATGGCTGTCCAGTCTCTTCTTAAAAACTTCCAGTGTTGGTGCATTCACCGCTTCCGGAGGCAGGTTGTTCCACTGGTTAATTGTTCTAACTGTCAGGAAGTTTCTCCTTAGTTCCAGGTTGCTTCTCTCCTTGATTAGTTTTTCCATCAATTGCTTCTTGTCCTGCCTTCAGGTGCTTTGGAGAATAGCTTGACTGCCTCTTCTTTGGGGCAGCCCCTGAGATATCGGAACGCTGCTATCCTGTCCCCCCTCGTCCTTCTCTTCATTAAACTAGACATACCCAATTCCAGCAACGTAAGTTTTAGCCTCTAGTCCCCTGATCATCTTTGCTGCTCTTCTCTGCACTCTTTCTAGAGTCTCAACATCTTTTTTACATCACAGTGACCAAAACTGGACGCAGTATTCCAAGTGTGGCCTTACCCAGGCATTGTAAAGTGGTATTAACACTTCATGTGATCTTGACTACACTAAGCAATGCAGTTCTGTCAAATCTCTTAACATTTGGCCCTCTCCGTCCTAGAGTGGCAGGAAAAACACAAACTAAGAGGAAAGCCAATATAAGGCCAAATATTTTTCTGCTGGGCGGAGAACTGAGCAGTGGTGACACTCCCTGCCTCCTAAGAACATAAATAGAAATGATCTGGAACTTGGAAGGATGCCCTGAGGTTCTTGGGAAACCCTTCTACCATGAGTGAAGGGAGCTGGGGGAGATATTTCCTGGATAGGCAAAAGAGGCTGAACGCACCGGAGTGGAGCTGGGTGCAAATTTGCATTTATCAAGCATTTGTATTCATGTTGCCCATGTTTCCTTCTTCCTGTTCTTGAACTGGAGGATGGAGAGAGTGGATTCCCAGGTTGTCTGTTGTATCCTGCCACATTCCTTCAAGGAGTTGGGTTTATGGTTGATAAGTCAGCTGTGTCCAATTTGTTGTTGTTGTTAAAATTTTATTACTTTATAATATACGATGCAATCAAAATACAAGAGTAAATTGCAGAAAGGATGAGGAAGGGAAAAGGGAGTAGAGAAGGGAGAAAAAGAAGAAGAAGAAGAAAAAAGGCATTGACTTCCTTTGGGGCAGCAGCTGACCTGTGTCTTAAGCTTTCCGTATGGTCACCTCCTTACCAAGACCAAATTGAATATGTACCTGTCTCCTCTTTTTCTGAGAAGTTTTAAGCGCTGCCCTGCAAGGAGAAATCTAGCCGCTGAA